GGCAGTAAAGAGGCCTCCCTCTGTTCTCTACAAATGATAGGGAAATACTTTGTCATAAGTGGGTTGCGGACATTTTTCTTCCCCTTTTGTAGATTCTTCCCCCAAATTTGGACAATGTGAAACTCTAGTGGCCATGACACTTGCTTTAATTTTATTGAAATTCGTGGTATGTGTTTGGCTACTTTGTAAAAGCTAGAACTCTCTCTCTGTCTGTCTGTCTGTCTGTCTGTCTGTCTCTCTCTCTCTCTCTCTCTCTCTGTGTGTGTGTGTGTGTGTGTAAGAGAGAGAGAGAGAGAGAGAGACTATGCAGGATTTCCTGTTGAGCAGAAGTCTTCTAGACATCCCCTCCTGCATAGCCTTTACAGCCTAGCGATTCCAGACTTCCTGCTTCCTGCCCAAGAATCTCTAATTGGCTAGGATTTAAGCACTGATTTATTGTTTAAGCTTTATTAATTTGCTTCAAGCCCTTCTAGAGAAGAGAATTGAGTTGTTGATGATTTTTCTTCCATTTTTAATTGGTATAGTGGGGAGAGACCTATTTCGATGCTTTATATTGTAGACTGTGAGCTCTGTGGAGATTGTAAAGCTTACATAGAAGGGATCTGTGTTCAAGAAGGGTATTGTAGAGCTGGAAAAGACGAAGAGAAGAAAATTATCAATACTTTGGAGCACTTTCCCTCCGTTCTTAGTTCAGCTTTTTGGCAAGAAAGTCAAGTATTGGGGCAAAGATTTAAATCACATGGACATAGTAATGATATTTGATGATTTAATTAAACTAATAGGGGACAATCTTTGGATTTTTAAAACTATCATGTGGTATGGAGTGGGCAAAAATAAATACCAAACCTGGTGGATTACCCAGTGAAATTGGTGGTAGATTTAAGACATGCAGGCCAGCTGGATAGCTCAGTGAGCCAGCTGTCTGGTTATGGAGCCAGAGGTTAGGAATTCTGTTTTCCATTGGGCATGATGATTTAATTAAACTAATAGGGGACAATCTTTGGATTTGTAAAACTATCACGTGGTATGGAGCGGGCAAAAATAAATACCAAACCTGGCGGATTACCCAGTGAAATTGGTGGTAGATCTAAGACGAAGAAGGGAATGGTAAACCACTACCTAGAGAACCTTGAAAAGACAGAATTGAATTGACGGCACACTACTATCATCATCATCATCATAGAACAATAGAGAAGGCAACTACATCATAACTACACAGTGTATCATTTGAAAGTCATTGTGACAAGTTTGGCTTGCACCTCCTTGGAAAGTAGTTCAGATAAAATTCATGCTGTGTTGACAGCTGACATCCCTGGTATGATGTCTATAATAATATTTAGCATTTATGTAACACTCACATTGTTCACATGTCCATATATCATCCTGGTAATTCTTACAACCGTCCTCTGAAGTAAGCCATTATCATTCCCGTAGTGTAGATGGGATGAGCCAGAAAAGTGTTGTTGTTACGTGCTGTCAAGTTGCCTTTGACTTATGGTGCCTTTATGAATGAGTGGTCTCCAGAATAACCCCGTCTTCAAACTGCCCTGTTCAGGTCTTGCAGACTCAAGCCTATGACTTCCTTTATAGAGTCAAGTTTGAAGAGGTCTGAATCTGCCATCTTCTGTATCATAATTCACTTCATTTGCCATTCTCTGAACACCAGTTGGGAAAGATGATTAAGGCTATAGGAGGCATGTTGCCCTCAGGTCCCAATTTTAAGCTCCCTGGAAGCTTTCCTCCAAGAACTAGGTGGACGCTGAATTCAACAAGTAGGGCTGCTCTAATGTTTGCCAAAATCAGTTTTTTTTTCTCCTCCTCCTCTCCTTCTTCTTGATTTATAACTGCATTGACATAACAGAAGTTTGCAGTCAGGACTTACTGATCTTAGCCGTGGTATGTGTTAGAAAGCCATGTATTCATTGGTCGAAGGGAAACATAGTCTTTGAGAGATGCTGAGATCCCACCTGGCCCCTGCAATACAAACACCAGCCATTACTTTGGTCAGTGGTTTGGTTTTCTGGAATGAACCAGTTTCCTCCATGGAACACCACAGAGGATAAAGCTCAACTATATTTCCGAAATGACTCCAGGAAGCTCGTTTTTCCCCTTCCAGACCGTTTATGCATATATGTGTGTATATATAATTTTTGTCCTTCTGGAAGGTATAGCACCTTGCATTGGTGATTCTGACGACTGACGTATGTTATTCTATATTCATGACATTTAGGTTACAGAAGTCTTTGTTTCATTTGTGTTGAGAGGAAATTAGGGCAATTAAAATGGCAAGATTCACAGTTCTGCTCAGTGTACTGTCTTTTAAGCTGATTAGCCACATCAGTTATTTCGTATTGCCCATGTTAAACCTCCAAAGCTCAGAGTGGCTAATGGTATTATCTAACAGGACAAAAGGATCATTTTCTTTTGGCTTGCAACAGGCTTTAGAATTGTTCTACAATGGTATTGTTATCATTCCCTCTCAGATTCAGGCAGCTACTGCAAAGTGTAACCTCTGTATTCAGTATGACTCTGACTCCTCAAAAGGGAAGCTTCCATTACAGTGGTGTACATTTCTTGCCCTCTTGCCCTCAGTCTGATGGCCTAGATGCCCTAGCAACCTGTTGTTTTCCTTAACCCTGTTTCTTTCCCAGACCTCAAGTTCTGCATAGGCTCATTTTCCACATGGAGCAATAACTGCTGCCCAACATCCCTTGTAATTTTTGGTCACAGCCCGTCCACATGCAGGGGATGGGGTTTCATCCAAAACAGGAAGTAAGCAAGCCAGCTGCTCATGCACAGCTCTGAGAGTGCATGCGTTCATGTGCATCTTAGCGGGAACTTTGCTTCTGACCCCAAAAGGAGCCTTTGGGATGAATGTAAACTGGAGGGAAAGATATTGGGGAGAAAAGTTGCACAATTTCAAATAATATTTGCAGGTTTGTGGCAGTTGTTTTGTAATTGGTCTCAAGTTATCAGATCATTTGCATCTTGAATACACAAACTTTAATTCCGTTCAAGCCAGAATTCCTTGCTATTAACTAATATAAAACATATAAAACATTTGAATTTTTTTTTTTACCACTGTACACACTAAGGCACGTTGCAGTGGTCTATTCCTTTTCTGAATTAAGTGATTTAGAACGAATCTGCTATTGCCACATGAAGTGTATTCATTACACAGCCTTCTTCTGTTAATTATCCTGGAAAATTAAGGCTGCACACAATGGGAAATCATTAGGACATCTGTAACAATTGGAATAGTGGTTCGCATCTGTGTATGGCTTTCAGAGCTGTAAAGAGTGACTTTTCTCATGTGGCCACAGTCTGTGCAGCTCTCCAGCGTAGGCTGTGTGTGGGAGAACTGATTTTAATGATATGTTCTTTAAAGGAAATTGCTATGCAGTGTAGCCATTACAGAGATGTGTGTCATCACCTTTAGGTAACTTGGAAAATTCAGCTGATTTCATGCCTGGAGGTGAAGCCTTTAATAGGAGACCATGGTACCAGCTTAGCTCTAGTTTGCGGTTTATGGCTAGCCCTGCCCAAATGATTGATTGTTCATGATTTTGAACATCATTATGCCACATATGGTTGCAGGAGGAGCTAGTTTGTAAACATAGGCAAGACTGTGTGCAGCTAGCAATATTGGCCAAGGGATAATTTTGTTGGCTTCCAGCAAGACAAAAACATGCCATAGGAAACTGAAGATAGCATGCATGTATGCTGTTGAGCTTTAGCCCGAAACAGATGGAGTTGTTTAGGAAACTCCTTCTTGAGTTACCTGGGCTTATTGTTATTTGAGTTCCTCACAGCCATCTAGGTTCTGATTGTTGCTTATGAAAATCTCTGTGTGTGTATGTTTCCCTGTGAAGTCGACAATGGGTGTATTTATTCATAATGGCAAACTGTACGATTTAGTATTGCAAGAATTATCTGAAGCCAGGTTTGGGAGCCTGTGTGTGACTGCTTCTCCAGTGTGACTGCAAGACGTTGGGAAGTTTTAATGTTTCATTTAAATTAATTGCAAACTATAGATTGTCATGTCATTTGAATCGAGTTTGGTTTGTTGAAAATAGATGGTTGTTTGAAAATGGCTTCTATCCACAAACTATCATTAATATTAACAACTTAGTGCATTTAGATAATGCTAAATGATTATTAATTTAAAATGGATGCCTTCCATATTGTGGTTGTGTTGGGATAGAAAGTAAGTGTGTGATCTTTACCTAACTGCAGCTTGTCCTTGTAATGCTAAAACATGGCTCACTATTACATGTGAATGCAGAATATGAGATCACCTGATGATTTTAGTTGGGTTTCTAGTTTGCATTAATCTTTCCCTTCTCTTCCCTTCTTCATTTGAATGGAAGGAGCTGTAGACTAAATAAATAAAATAAATAAATAAGGAGATGTAGATGTTTTACCTACTTAGTAAAAGGAGTAGAGCAGGGGTGGGGAATCTGCGATCCATCAGATGTTACTGGACTGTAACTCCTTTCATCCTTCACAATTGGAATGCAGGGTATTTGGGATGATGGGCTTTGGAGTCTAGTACCATCTGAACGGACACAGGTTTCTAGCCTCTAGAGGAGTGGTTCTCAACCTTGATTCACCAGATAGTCTTGGACTAAAACTCCCAGAAATCCTGACCAGCACAGCTAATGGTGGGGGTTGGGAACCACTGCTCTAGGATTATGCTTCCATATATTACCACTACAACTGGATCACCTGTACTATCTTGTCTTTAGAAGCTATAGGTAGTCATGAAGGCTACATGACGCAGTATGAGGATCAACAACAGATCATAGTCCACCTTGTTGGCTTCTCAAACACATCTTGTTGGCTTGGATGAGGAGATAGCATTCTAGATGAAATTGACTTCCAATTCTGATCCAGCCAGGCTCTTCTGAATGTTCTGATTTCTGGAAGGAGAGAAAGGCAAGTATAGGGCTCCTTTCCCCAAAACTTCCATTAATGGTTTGTCGTGTATATCATTTCAGGTGCTCTTACAGTTGGCCTTGTGCGACAATGTCAAACCATTCATGGACGTGACAGAACCTGTATTCCTCCACGGTTGCCTCCTGAGTGGGTCACCACCTTATTTTTCATCATCATGGGCATCATTTCACTGACTGTCACATGTGGCTTGCTAGTGGCTTCGCACTGGCGAAGAGAAGCATCTAAATACGCACGCTGGATAGCATTCACTGGAAGTAAGTGTGCTTTTTCAGCTCTGGAGTAGATACTGGCTGCCGGCCAGACCTTTGCAAGTCCCCTTGACTTTTGGGATGTCATCAAAAGAGCACCTGAAATGCTGCCTAGCCTGCAGTGTTTTGATGCTCTTCCTGGTATCCCAAAGTCTCATGTGAATCCTGTGTTCCCCCCCCCTCCCGTGGGAAGCTGAATCATCTTCTCTCTGCACAGAAAGCCTCTGCATACATCCTTTTGACTGCTTTGCTGGCAGAATAGCAAATGGCCAACCTAGCAGGTGTTACCTTTCTGAAAAGCAAGGCCTGGCTGGGCTGTTTCACACTCTTAAAGGAAACCCTCCTTAATAGCTGAAGAAAAGCCATGCAGGTAGCTCTGTGAGGAGGAACATGTGGCTGTGGAACCATGCGTCAGGGGATCGCCTCCCACAAAATAGGGATGATAAGCTTTCTCTATGTACACTGTGGAACTCTTCTGGAAAAGGTTGCTGTACATCTGAATCAGCTTGACAGCATATAGTTATGGCTACATTAGTCTACATGCAGCAGAGTAAACTAATGGAATGGACTGCACAGTTATGGGGATCATCTTCTTGGGTGATCCTTTTTGGAAAGGAAGTGTGTACTTGATGTGCTCACGTTCTCTGCACGGGCTAGAAGACCCTTCCTCTTCCTATATCCTCTGCAGGGAACAGGATTTCTTTTAACTTGGAGGCTTATCAAAAAGTACCATCGCCCTCCTTTACTGAGGAGTAGGAAGTCCATTCTGTAACTCTCACCTCACTCTGCTTTAATGTGAAATCCAGGTTTGCACCCGGCGCTAGTGCTGAAGTTGCACTACATATAGATGGAGAGCTAAAATGATACTCCAGAGCCTTTGCTTACTGAAACCCCAATGTCAATGACAGATACACCTCGGCAATCAATTTATTGATGGGAAATCCAGAAACCCATTTGAATTAGAAGACTGCTGCTAAAGTAGCTCTTGTAATAACTTGTTTTTCAAGCCATCTCCTAGCAGGCTTCGTCCAGGGTTAGTTGAATGGAAAAGCTTTAAGCTCCCTCTAGCGGTGCTTTAACTGAGGTCTGGATAGGCTGAATTAAGCCTTTTAGAGTTGTTTTAAATTTGGATTAACAGACCATATATGTTTTAGGTAGGTGTTGTGAGCACTCATCAGTCACCCAGCTTGTGGGCAGGACATTTACTGCAAATTTTCGCTTCACATGATTAGTATTTTCTTAAAATATGTGCCCTGGTTTCATTTATCTATTACATGTTCATCTTGCCCTTTGATTACTATCACTGAGATAACCTTTGATTTAAAAAAAAACCTAACCACCTAAGGAATGCTAAAACCACTGAAACTGGCAGACAAGGCCACACAGTGAAAATCCACAAATCTAAAGTGGAGAGCAGGTAACATGGTAACCATTTGTTGCTCATCCATAAGCTTAGTAAGAATCTTAACACAGCTCCTAAAACTCAGTGAAGACAAAACCCAGTAGGTTTCTGGGAAAGTGAGCCTACGGAGGGAGGGTATTCGGCCACTATGTTGGCAGTGGGACAAAGACCCTCACTTTAGTTATCCTCTGAATAATTTTTATTGGTACAAAACTTGGATCAGGTACTCTGATGTTCTTAAAAAATCAGAGGAGCAAACGATTCTCCAGCTGTACATACATCTGTAGTTTCTTACATCATGGATAGTGGGACAGCTCTCTGGCCCTCTGCCAGCCCCAAGCCAGATAATGTCATGGGATGTGGCTTGTATCCTGGTGTCACTGCCTCCTGGCCAAAGCTCCACCTTCAGCTTATCCTACCTGTGATTCATCCAGTGACCTTGCAGAGCAGCATTGAAAGGTGGATACATCAATATGGCCCTTTGGAAGATGGCTGAATCCCAACAAATGGAGGCACAGTGAGGTGAATGTGTTTTGCTTCCCACTTGTCTACCCTCTGTGGGAATACTGCTGTAAATCTGACCACAACATTGAGATCTCTGCCTTCTCTCTTGCACCTACCCCTTTTCCATCTTAAGGAGAAGGAGATCAGATTTGGGAAAGAGCAACTAGGCAACCTCTACAAGGTAGACTGGGGACACTGGTAGACCAGATTAAGCCTGGTTGCCAGGAGATTCCCTTTCCATGACTTACTGGTCATGGGAATTGTGTGCCTGACAGTTCTTGCTTTCATCCTTGGCTCAGAAGTCTGGGAACTCAAGAGATTTCAGATACGGAATGCAGAAAGAAAAATATTAATCAAAACAGATGGTTCTGGCTGGCATGTGTTGCAGCTTAGCAGGAACTGCAGATCAACGGTAAAACCTTCAATATACACACAAAAGGCCGAGGTTACTCTGGCGTCTCCAGGCAAGCCCCAGAAAGACTCCTGGATGAAGCCCTAAAGAGCCACTACCAGCATTGTAGATATTATTCAGCTAGATGGCCCAGTGACGACTTCCTTGATTCAGGGAATGATCTCTGTAAATTTCTGCGGACTCGGCTTGACCACCTGTTCCTTTTTCTTTTTTGTCCTGTCCTTTGAACTGAATTGAATTCTACACACAGTTCACATTACAAAGTTGGTGGGAAAACAATTTAGAACACTTAGAAACAGGTAATGAAAGAGGAAGGAATAAAAGAACAGTTCAATAGGTTCAACAATCAAGACAAAGAGGGAGCAATGAAAATAATCTAGGAATAAACATATGCCTGTTTAGGACAGTTTTGAAGGTGAAGCTTGTTTCTGCCTCTCAAAAGTTTCAGGAAAGCAAAGGTATTTAGGTACTTCCGACGCAGAGTGAGGTGAAACATCTAAAGCTTGCCAGCTGTATGCTTTCCCTGTGCTATGAACTGTCACCCTGCTGTGTCCTTCCAAAATCCACTAATGTGTCTTTTTCCTCTTTTGTTTTCCAGTGATCCTATTCTGCATGGCAGCCCTAATATTCCCCATAGGATTTTACATCAATGAAGTGGGAGGCCAACCTTATAAACTGCCAAACAACACAGTGGTTGGGTCATCTTACGTCCTGTTTGTTTTATCCATTTTCTTTACAATAGTGGGACTCCTATTTGCCGGCAAAGTGTGTTTACCCGGCTGACGAATATAGAGACACCTGCTTCACTCGGTCATGAAAGAAAGTAGGACATCTGACGCATTCTCGGGAGGATGTCAGTGTCGGGCTGTTACTGTCTTACTGGAACAAGGAGGTCTCTGTTTTCACTATGCACTTTGGATTTTTTAAAAATGTTATTTTATTTTTAAAACGGAGAGCCTTTCCTATAACCAAATACAGACAACCTTGACTCATCTCCTGAGCATCCGGATACGGTCAGGTGTGCACTGTGATAGGAACTAGTGTAGAAGATTTTGGTTTTTGTTTTCTGCACTGAATAGCATTATTGTGCCGCCCATCTCTTCGCCCTGTTGCTGTACTGTACCCATTTAAAAAATATCTTGACAGTTTTCGCAATCTCAACAAAGTATTTATGAACTTTGGTCAACCAGAGGTTTGCCAAGGAAATAGGAAGTGGGGCTGGCCTCACTTTTGTTAGGAGATTAGCATCTTCCTTCTGTGCTGGGCAAGAAGCATATGCCACCAAAATCAAAATGAAAAAAAAAAAACCACACAGATCAATCTTATGTTACCTGTACCCAAAAGCCAATAGATCAAAGGTGTTCTTGGAAATCTGTTACAATAAAATGTCTATCTGCCGCTGTCCCCACCTCGTGATCTGTAGAAACACCAAGGAACATTGAGGGGGATAGAAATCTATATGTATGTATGTATGTATATATATTATATACAGACAGTCACAAACACACACAAAGATACATAAGTTCTCTTGAGCGCTTTACTAGCAAAACACTGTGGTGTGCAAAACCAGAACTTGAGGGGGCGGGTGGGGAGAAACCAATAAAGCCATTTTTCTGAAGGCTGCATTGCTGGGGAAGTCTTCAGTTTACCTCATTATTTGTAGCAGCCCTTGGTTTTAATAGTTTTTTTTTTGTAATAGGTTACAAACAGCTCCATACCTTTCTCCGTGCAATTTTAAGTTAAGCTAAGAGGGTTTGTTTGTTTTTTCTTTATATGATAATTTATTTGTATATTGGAGACAGAAGGTTGAAATCATGTTATACTTTCTAACAATCTCACCCTAGGGAGGGGAAATTTCACTCCTTAAATTATGAGCAACTGTTGTGTTCTAGACATGGGCATCTCTCTCCCTCTCCCCCACCTTTTCTACACAGGAAAATTTTCACACGGTATACCCAGTTGGCTGTAATTGGTCAGTAAAAGCAGCAACGCAGATGGACAGATTCTTCTTCCCAATTCGTGCTCTGCACAAATGAAAGAATAATTTGCCCATCTTTGTTGAAAATACAAATCCTTCATTTTGTGCAGAATACACCATTGTTACCACCAAAAAGCAAGGTGATCACTGGATATCCGCAGGCTCTATTTGACATGTGTTTAATATCTGCTAGCTTGTTTAACAACGTGTTTTGTCACATTCAAGATCTTCTGTGTTCCATAGGATGGTTCCCTTCTCCTGGCATCCTCTTGGCGTCTAGCGCTGTGTACCTCGCTCAATAATAGGGCTGTCTCCTGGTTTCTCTATTTGAGAGTTTATGGGTCTCCAAATGTGAACGGTGGCCTGCAGTGTCCAGAAAAAGAGAGAGAGAGAGAGAACCATTTGGCAATCCTTGATCTTTTACCAAACTATGCTACCCACCTACTATTCTGGCTATAATCAGTCCATGTTAACACTGTCCAGAAAAAAAGAGAGAGAGAGAGAAAACCACTTGGCAATCCTTGATCTTTTACCAAACTGTGCTACCCACCTACTATTCTGGGTATAATCAGTCCATGTTAACACTCCTGTTCATGAGAAAGAAGAATCATTGATAGAAGGATCATTGCTATGTACTTTCATTCTGATGCAAAGTTTTTCTGTCTACATAAGAAATAACTAGCTGCTGCGGGAATGCCATGCGTGTGTTTTCATTTCCCATTTGTCTCTATGGAATAATGTTGAATTACCGGACTGGCAGCAGGCGATGCTACAATCAGGCTGATGTTGCTTGTGGCTTAGAGAGAGAAATCTGGACCAGTATAAACGTTTATGTGTTGCAAAATGTGGGATCTCTGTCCTCAGAGTTTCAAACGACCTTCACACCATGCAGACTTATCACAGTGTTGTCACAAGGAGCTAATTGGGTGATGTTATCAGATTGTCAAGTTTATGGGTGACTGTAATTTTTTTTCCTGGAATATGTGATTGCTATTTTTCTTGGAGTGTTTTTCTTTTTAAGTTAAGAACTTGATTGGTCCTCTCAGCTGGCTGAGGAGTTCCCATGAAAGAGCTTGTGAGCACCAATATACTTCAGTAGCTCTGCTAAAATATAACGCTGTCCGAACTTGCAAGCTTTGGAATCTTCTTGTCATTGTTGTTTCTACAAAATCATATCATGCTGGAAAAATAACTTTTTGTAAGTGGGAAGTCCCATTCAGACCTGAGGATTGGTATTTATCATGAATGAATGTGCTGATAAACAGTTTTCTCTTCTGTGATGAGAAGGAAAAAAAATATTAAACACTAATTTTAGTTGCTAGATGTTTTTATGATAAAAATGAAGGGGGGTGGATTTACAAAACTGAAAATAAGTTTCACAAAATAATGTACGGGGGGGTGCTCTCTCCTAAAGCTCTTCTTCCCAGTTCACTACTTGACTGGCTTCTTTCTAGAGTCATTACTACCACCACTGGTTCATTGCTTTCAGCATCAGCCTGCCATGCAGGAATTCCCAGAGTGACTTTTTTAATCCTACCAGAAATGAGATGATGATAGAAAGCATAATTTGATCGATTTTTACATACGTATCAGACTCCTGTTGGAAGAGACCGGAACTTTTGTCTTTTGTTTTAATCCTACCAGAAATGAGATGATGATAGAAAGCAAAATGATCGATTTTTACATATCAGACTCCTGTTGGAAGAGACCAGAACTTTTGTCTTTTCTTTGTTTAAGGGAACAAAAAAGAAAAAAGTGTCTAACAACCACACTCTTCTACCATAACTTTTTTAATCCTACCAGAAATGAGATGATGATAGAAAGCAAAATGATCGATTTTTACATATCAGACTCCTGTTGGAAGAGACCACCAAGGTTAAGAACCACTGGTTTAAGGGAACAAAAAAGAAAAAAGTGACTAACAACCACACTCTTCTACCATGAATTCTCTTTGCCCTCACCTTCCATGTTGTACTGGAAGGTGAAGCATTGTTCTTTGTTGACAGACCTTGCACAGATAAAAAGTCCCCTACACCTATCAAACATTCCCCATATTTGTTTTTTTTAATCATGCCAGTGGCATAGCACATCTATGGATTTCAAAGACAATGAAAGGCATTTATGCTTGAATATTTCAGGTGTCCATATTCCTTCCAACATTCACTATTACATCCCTGTTCCATTGCATCACCCAAGAGAAGAATAACATTTGGCAGCTTAAATCCTCTCTGTTGACATGAACAACATCAACATTCACTATTACATCCCTGTTCCATTGCATCACCCAAGAGAAGAATAACATTTGGCAGCTTAAATCCTCTCCTCTCTGTTGACATGAACAAACACGTGTATAAATTGTCGGTGGGCTTGTTTTAATTAAAGCAGGTACTTAAGGGCAAGAAGAACCCCAGAAACATTCACATTCCTGTCCTGAAAGAATAAAACAAAGCACATACGGATATGTCTTGTTAAAAAAAAGGCTGGCTTAAATCCTCTCTGTTGACATGAACAACATGTGTATAAATTGTCGGTGGGCTTGTTTTAATTAAAGCAGGTACTTAAGGGCAAGAAGAACCCCAGAAACATTCACATTCCTGTCCTGAAAGAATAAAACAAAGCACATACGGATATGTTAAAAAAAAAGGCTTAAGTCCCAATATTGCACAGGTGTGTTCTTAAAACTTAAAGAGGAACCAAGAAAATGGGAAGTGATCAAGGTCAGATGGATCCAAAATACCTGCTTACCTTCCTGGAAGGTTGCTCCATACACCTAAATGAGGGACTGTTCCAAAGGGGAAGGGGTTTCATTGTTGCAGAATAAATCAACTCTTCCACATACACAACTTCCTGTCTGTTGGCATTTTCCTATCCCTACCTAAAGGCGGAGAGAACCATCTTCCAATTATTAACACTGTGATCACGACTGTATTGGCCTGTGAACGTAATAAAATGTGGTTTTTTTGTTTTTTGACTGTGCACATTTGAACCCTGTATGGGAGTCTGGCTTATCCACAGACATTTATGAAGAACAAGACAGCCGCCTCTAGCAGAATGCATTGAATATTTGGTGTTTTTGGTCTGTATAACATGGAATTGAATCTTTTGTTGGGGTGGAAAGAAAGAAGTATCCTTGTAACTATACAAAGAGGGGTGGGAGGGAGAGAATCAACAGTTGCTTTTAATAAAAGTCGCAAAGAATACAGTATTAATTTATAGCAGAAAGAGCATATCTTGTAAACTGTATATAAAACACAGTTTTATGGTGCAATTGTCAACTTTCTGTCTGTTTATTTGCAGGGAGAGAGGAGTTCAGCTTGTGTGCATTTCTCTTAATCTAAAATCATTGAGTTCCTGTTTGTGGAAAAGGATCTTCTGGAGAAACCTTTTCTATAGGCTTTGCAAGGAATGCCTATGCCCTTAATATTTTGTGCCGTTTTGGATTTTTTTTCTTAATTTCTTCTTTTTGCCCAAGGAAATCCACTTTGATAGTGATTGTTCACATAAGCCTCTAACAGTTTTTCGTTTTATAGGCAACTCATTTGTATTCCTCTCGGCACCTTTGCATAGCCCATAGCATTTTATGTCCTTCATGTCCAGAAGGTTCGGTGTCCTCCTATGCCACTTGTAATACACTTTTTAACGTCTCAGTCTACATTCATTTTGACATGCTAATTTAAATCTATGTTTCCGTTACCAACAAATTTCACATCGATGGCTTCCTCCCTCCCTTGAAATGTCTACGATGTGATTTCTTTGAAAACACACCAGGAAAGATCCAACATTGTGCTTGGTGTCGAACACTACTTGATTGGGGTTTTTTCCTCTCCTTCCATAGCTACAAAAGCCTGCTCCAGAGAGTTAGTTTCCTAACTTTCGAGAACAGCTTTTTAAATGTAGGAGAAGGGAACTGAAGGAAGAAGGGAGGTTGCAGATTTCTGGAGAATACTTTGTATTACTGTTGGCATCTTAAGGTTGACTGGGAAAGGACCCGGAATGTTACAGCCTTATTCTGCAAAGGTAACATCATGTCTGAGGTAAATTTGTAGTGATTATGGATTAAAAACATATTTTTCAAAACCTTTTTGGTTTGAATGGCATCAAAACTATTAAAGCTCTATTAAATCTTTCTTCTGCCCCATCCACAAGTGTGTTTCAATTGCTGTGTGACTAGCTATTAACTATGTACTGTATAAGCCTGTGAAGGAAGTGGGGAGGGGAGAAAGATGAAGGAAATAGCATTTTCAAAGTGGGTTTCCTGCCTCAAAATTGCTCATTGTTTCCCTACCTGAAGAGATCTTAAGTTTTGGCTCAAGGTCTTAGTGATGGCCTGTTTTATCCAACCCATCTATCTTCCACTGCACCCCTAAAGCTCTTGCTAAGGATTATTTTCTGACTGATTTGGACTTGTTTCCCCCCCAATTAATTTCCAAACAAAATATTAATACGAACTGTATAAAATGAACATAATTTTCTTCACTTGTATTTTTGTTATTGAGCAAGTTTATCAAAATAAAATTGTCTTAATTAAAGAAATGAAAGTGCTTTGACATCATTGTCATTCTTGTTGCTGTTGATATCTAGGACAGGATGCCAGAAACCATGACAAGCACATCTTCAGTCTGAAAATCCTCTGGTTGCTGAAGGAAGAACCCGCCAAAATCTTTGGTTCTCCAGATGTTGCTGGACCCATGAGCCCCAGCCAAGAGTCAGGGCGATGGAAATTGCGGTCCAACAACATGTGGAAGGCCAGATATTACTGCCACACTAAACGTCTGCCATTTAGGTTCATCATCCATTTGGTTTGCACTGTGAATTTAGTAATGCTGTCGCAGAACAATGTCTGATTTATACACAAGGTAGAAAACCTGTTTCTGGGCTTGGCTCAGTTTAGTTTTGTGGTGTTTGTGTATTGCTTCACATCACCAAGAAGGGTCATAAAGGGAAAAATAGAATAAAGGCCATCTGTAATTGCATATTCATTAAAACCATAAGCGCTCAGTGTTGGGACGGAGGTCGTAACATGGCCTTCTTGGGCTGCATTAACTTCAGAGCCGGTATCAGCAATTCCATATGGTTGGGATTGCAGTTCCCAAAATCCATCCCCATTAGCTAGACCCTGGGGCTGGCGGAAGATGCAAGGGATGCGTTTAAATATCAAAAGCCGTGTTACATCTTCTCCGTCGCCGGAAAGGTGAATGGGGAGTGTCTAGCACCACAGAAAGTGCCATCATTGTGCTACCACACACCCTTTCCCCCATCAGGCCTGTGCCTTGAGCTCCTACATCTGGCCTTCCCGCTTTGGAGATCTCATCCTGCTGCTCTGCTCAATCCCTCCCTCTCCTGCCGAGAATGGTTGCTCCCGTTGCCATTGGTGACGGAAACACAGTTAGGTTCAGCAGCCCTGCCAAGGTCTGGCATCTGCAGGCGCAAGACGAAGGTGGGGGTGCATGAAAAAAAAATGAGAAATTGCCGGTGAGTCCCGACCATTCCTCCATGACAAGGATTGATGATCCTCTTCAGGAAGAAGAGGGAGGGCCGTTGTAGCAGAGGGAAGCCCGCGAGCTGAATCCGAATAGTGGGCTGGGGTGAGCACACAGAAGAGGAGTGAGGCATGTTCCTGAACACGTGCAGAGTTCTCCTGCCTTCCATCATCTGGATGCCGGGTGGTGAAGGAACGGCTGATCGTACCTACTGGGGGGAAAGCAAAATGTGGGGCATTTATACTGCTCCCTAAGTGCTTAAAGCATGCTCTTGGCGCTTTACAGTATAATTTAATTGTGCAGGCTGCACATTGCGCCCTCGCCCGGCATGCTGGGTCTTCAATTTTGCCAACCTTGGAAGGCAGAGACACTTCAATTTTGCCAACCTTGGAAGGCAGAGTCAACCTCAACACACACACACACACACCCCAAAATACAGCACAATTATCTGTCAGGAGTATGTAAGGTCATATTTACAAATTGAAATGTGGACCTGGCTTCTTTTCTGCACTGCTTTTGTCTGTTCCCTCAGAAACAGGAAGGCCAATGGGTCTGTTTTAAAAGGCAAACGTTTTCTTGTACAATCACCTTGATAGAATCTGCGCCCTTGATAATCTGCATGTTTTGGAAGTTGCGTTCTCCCCGTGATGCTCCAGAATGCTTTGAACGTTGGTCTCCACAGTCCAATACCTTTGGCCCTGCCACGGTCTGAAGGGGTAACAATCTTCCTATTTCCCCCTTCAGCTCTACAGGGTTACATCAGTAATAATGTAGTGTGCAGAGGATAATTTTCCGTTACGTTATCTTTCCACTGAAGATTTTATGTTTCTAGAAATGCACTGTTCCAGAAAACTGATTTGCAATGATTCAAATTGCATAATTCAAAGTATGCAATATATGTGAATCTGAAATAAAAGCTTTAGCTTTTTTTTTCAGTTGGACACATTTATATCTATGCACATTGAGGCATGTTAAAATAAGCATACTAACTGCATGCTTACAGTTTGTTTATGTTGTTTGCACTGAAAGAAGAACATATGCTAGAAAGATACTGTTCCTTAAATGTTAACAGCTGTATATAATGTATTGGGGGAAGGAGGAATTATCATAACAGTTATGCTGCCGTATTATAAGCTCCCTCTTTTTACAGTGTAACTTCAGGATCAAATGCTACTTCCTCGAAAGGGCACAGATCTTGGCAGAATATCTGCATAACAGATGTTGAAGATGATAATGGACTATTAGTTACCAATATCAACCAGACCTGGGATTTGATGGTATGTCAGTACTGATATTTAATGGAACTAAAGCAACTAAGAAGATGCCAAACATTGCAGTTAGCGCAAGCTGAGAATGTGGAGGTGAAACTTTAGAAATTACTTCCATTAATGTGCTGAACGTTTCTGGTTCTCGGACGAGTGAGGATTTCCCAAATGCCTACTAAAGCCATGCCCTGATTTCACCAGCATTCCCAGCTGGTCAAATCTGCCAGGGTGCAGTTTCCCAGTTAGATGCTGGAGACTGCCAATATGTGTAGGAAGAAAGGTGGTGTTCCATCTACATCACTGGTTCCCAACTCCAGTTCCCCAGATGTTCTTGGATTAAAACTCCTAGAAGTCTTCACCACTAGCTGTGATGGCCACACTCCAGTTCCCCAGATGTTCTTGGATTAAGTCTTCACCACTAGCTGTGATGGCCATGGCTAAGAACATCTAGGGACCCAAGGTTGGGAAGCACCAATTTGCATGAAAGAAAGCTTTTGCGTGGGCCTTTTTGAAGATTTGTTTTTTAGATTTCTCTAGGCTGAAAAATTATATTCTGGTTATTGATATTCCAGTGAATGGGGAATATCAATAACCAGAATATAATGGATATTGATATAGTTGGACAAGGTGCTTAAGAAGGTAGTGGCCAAACACCAAGTTTTCCTGGATGAAACTGATCGTCTGGGTCCTTTTCATGACCAGCCTGGTTTGGGAACTGCCTTCTCTGTTTGTACATATCCCCATTGCGCTGGAGGTCACCACGACTTGTTGAGAAGTGATGAAGCGACAGTGCCTTGTTAACACAGAGCTGGGACTGTCAAAATATTAATTACTTAAAACTGCAAGCCAATTGTGGTATTCTTCTAGGGGATGCTTTGTTAGGTTGGAATTTGGGCTCTTGCATTTAATTTCCCAGTTATTTCTGCAGATCAGGTTCTAGAAAGCTGGCCCAGACATCACAGCAAACCATGGCTAGGTCTTGCCAACCGTGGTTAGGTTTGCATACCGTGGACAGCTGAGTCAAGACACTTCTTATCCATGTATCCTAATAACAAAGTACATGATTTTCTGCCTTAAGTTAAATAGTATTAAAAAGGACTTCTTCTTATTCTTGCCATCAGGGTGTTTTTTTTCCCTTTTGTCAACAGAGACTTAAAAATACATCCAAGCTGTTTGTTGGGTTAAAAGCCACCGATAACTGGGTTCAAGTCTATGGTTTAGAAAGCAAACATCTCACATTGGAGGATCTAACTAAGAAAGGCAATATCATCCTGTAAGTACAAAGCCGCCTCTTTTTAGTTTTTTCGCATGTGCCCTTTCATTCATCTCTTGATATTTCCTTTTAGAGATGCAGGCGATGGAACTGAACATATTGAATTTACAAAGGAAGCCGTTCGTGATTTTGAGTCCCAGTTGCATGCGTAAGTACTCTGCAACGCGCTGCTTCTGCAGTTCCCATCTGCAAGTCAAGCTGTTATTTCCACCTAGCCCAGTGTTGCCTACACTGACTAACTGGCACATTGAAGACTGTGTGTTCCATCCCTGGCATCGCCCGGTAAAAGAATCCTATAGCAGGTCATGAGAACGTTCTTTCTGAAAGCCAGAATTGCTCTGACAAACAAGAGTGGGCTAAATGGACAAACACAATAAGGCAGCTACCGATGCCTACAGCTGTTTCCCCATTACTGGTCGGTAGGCCAGATGACTTTTCTTTGAGCACTGCAATTAGCCTGCAAATCTGCAGTTGGTAATTATTGCATCAGGTGAATGTTTAAGTTCCTGCAGTCTTATGCCATATAAAATGCTTCAAACACTTTGTGTCTGATGATCATAATTAAAGATCCCTAATACAAATTCAGGAGCAGGGAATACCTTTATTGAACCACCAAAAAACACAAGTAGTTTTTGATGATCATTAGAGATGAGCATGAACTGCTGGTTCAGTGATTCGTGCCGGTTCGTTTACCAGCCAAAGAAGTGTTCGGTGATGTGTTCGGCCCTGCCTCCTCCAGCAGGAGCCCATTCAGAGGCAGTGCTCAGAGGAGGCTGGGCAGTGGTGCTGCCTGAGTGGGCGCGGCACCCACCAGAGGAGGTGGGGCTGCCCCTTCCACCATTAAACGAACTGGCACCACCAAACCAGCAGTTCTTGACCACCTCTCATGATAATTTATCTTCATCAGACTGTGCACCAAGAGCTTGTGTATAGTTCAAAAAAAAATTAAGAGTCTCAAATGATGATCATAATTAAAGATCCCTAATACAGTTTGGGATCTGAAAAGAATCAAAAAAGGGCTGTGTGTCGTCGTCCCCACCCAAAAATGCAATACAAATTCAGGAGCAGAGAATACCTTTATTGGACCACCAAAAAACGAAGTGTTCGGTGATGTGTTCGGCCCTGCCTCCTCCAGCAGGAGCCCATTCAGAGGCAGTGCTCAGAGGAGGCTGGGCAGTGGTGCTGCCTGAGTGGGCGCGGCACCCACCAGAGGAGGTGGGGCTGCCCCTTCCACCATTAAACGAACTGGCACCACCAAACCAGCAGTTCTTGACCACCTCTCATGATAATTTATCTTCATCAGACTGTGCACCAAGAGCTTGTGTATAGTTCAAAAAAAAATTAAGAGTCTCAAAGTTTCATGGCATGGCTGTTGTTCATGCCAGGCAAATTTTCGTAGGTGAATTGAGCAGCATGCAAACAGATTGGGAGGGGTGGCTGGCTAGAAACTCCTCCTGCAAACAGCATTTCGGCCAAGCAATCTGCAGCCCCTCTGTGCCCCCCCCCATTTGCCTTCTTTAGAAATACAAGGTTTCTATTTGGATGGGGCAAAAAAGGCAACCTAGCCACATGGCAGGCCTCCGGCCGTGGACTTGAACTACAGTTTAGTCGCTGGGTATTTTTAAGACCCATCTAAAAACTTGGATGTTTAAGCAGGTTTTCCCTCCAGATGACACTTAATCTTTCCTTCTTTACTTTAGTTTTGTGATATTGCCATCTTGAAGAACATGTTTATTGTTTGCTGCCTGTTGTTTAGTGTTTATAGTATATTATTGATTTTTTAAATTTTTCATTTGTTATATGTATACGCCACTGTATTTTACTGTGTATGCCTGGAAGCTGCCTAGAGTGCTCATATTGACTAGATAGGCGGGGTACAAATTAAATAAATAAATAAACCACCAGGAAAGGCCAATTTTAGACAAATCACGGTGAGATTACTTGGTGAATATTTTCTTCAGCATGCAGTACTGCTTGGCTGGTGTCAAAAATCCCTGTTATTAGGCGAGAGTAGATCCATCTTTTTTTTTTCAAATAAAAAAGATGCTACCAAGGTGAGAATACTTGAATCACTAGTGAATAAATTGAGCAAAATGACCTGGTTTTATTTGCAGCTCATCCTCCATCTTTATGTCCGCTGTGCAGTATTTCCAAATAGTTGTTCATTAAAGTGCATGCACACGCATAGCGCACTGGTGGAAGACATGGCTTGCATGAGGATGCCCCTCGAATTAATTCTTTGGCGTCTCTAATTCAGTCCTATTGTGACACAGAGCAAGCGAAGTATAAACTTGTCTCTTTCACCATGGCAACATATGGCATTATCCATATTTTCTCTGGGTTTTTCTCTCTCCTCTTAACCCTAGAGCTATTGATCATTTCAATGAACGGATTCAATGGCTCTTACATGGCAGCAGAAAGGTAATGTGTACAGTTTATTCATTTATATGAATCATAAAAAATAAATACTGAAAAATATATTCTCTTAAACGAAACAACACAGAGAGTCAAATAGTAGCAGGCTTTGGTAAGCAGCAAGCTTTTGGTAAAAGAAATATTATTATTGAACTAAGTTTCATATCTTGTCCTTCTGCAAGTGGGTGTGACCTCACACCTTGCTTGCTGTTGCCTCCAGTCTCTACCTGTTTACTGTCTGTCTGTCTGATGCAGAACTATGGAAAATTCCTTTGTTCTACCACCAGAATCCCACGAACCAGCAATCTTTTGAGTCCTGCAGGACTCTTAATCAAGCTGCACATTTTCAGCCAAGAGTCTTGTGATACTTAAAAGGTTTATTGTAAAGGAAACCTCAGCACAGAGCTTTGAACAGCTGAGATATTTTGGAGGTCCTTAAATCATTGGGTCACCGTGACTCACCAGTGACTTGACAGCCAATAGCATCAATATGCATTTTCAATGCCAGATTCCAATCCAGACACTATTTTCTTAGCCTTGATTGCACTCTAGTCATTTATTAAGTTTTTGAGAAACAGACCTACTTTGCAGAAGGGACTGAGTTTCTTGTATGTAGATAACTCAGCTGATATAGGAATACTTAATGGCCTTATCTGCCAACATGCCGAGATGAAAATAGGGGAATATTTGCAATGTGCCTCTTCTTGTACCAAGGCTCGGTGTAAAGAAAGATTCAATTTTTCATCTTGTTGACTTTTGTACATGGAAGGGGAAGTGATCCCAACTTGACTTTCATCTCAGACAGCAAAATGTCTTTGGGCAGCCCTATTCCCTGTGCGACATCTCCACTGTTTGTTGCCGATGGCTCTGCCATAGCCGTTACCTTTACTGGCCATGTATCAAAAAGCAAAAGATGCTGCTTATATACCTCCCCACAGTGTTTAAAGCAATGTCTGGACAGTTTAAAATTCAATCATGCAGGGTACACATTGCCTCCATCCACCCAAAGAGTTGGGTACTAAATTCACCAACCTTGGAAGGATGGAAGACTAAGTCAGTCCTGAGCCTGGAATCAAACTTAAGTTGTAAGCAGAGTCTTAAGGATGGAAGACTGAGTCAGTCTTGAGCCTGGAATCAAACTAAGGTTGTAAGCAGAGTCTTTGCTGCAGTTTAGCCACTGTGCCATGAGGCTCCTAGAATCTGAGCAGTTTCCTTGATAAATAGGGAAGAGACCCTTGTCCAGCAGGCTGAGGCAAAGAGGCAGTCCCGAAACCAGCAAAATCAGGGAACTTGACAGGTGACAAATTGTACAGTATTTGTCTTCAGTGTGGAAGGGATGGTCACTCTCAAATTGGCCTTCTCAGCCACACTAGATGTTGTTCCAAGACCTCTATTCAGAGAAGGTTACCATAGTCTTTGGAGACTGAAGGATGCCTAATCAAGGGACATGTCAAGTATATGTAATGCCTCAATCGATCAAAATTAGGCTTAAGTCAAAAGAAGCTGCACAAATCTTTTACATGGCAGACCCTGCAATGGTATAGGACATGATCTCCCATCATCCTTGCCCATTGGCCAGGTTGGATGGCCTCCCCATCCTTGCTGTAAAATAATCTAAGACACTTGTTAAAGAGAGAGGTGAACACAACAGTTTTGCCCAGCCTTTGGATGTATTTGGGGTGGGAATGGGAGGTTGGGTTCTATATATTCCACTAGGTAATAGCCGTGCTTACCCAGCACTGGCAGAAAGGGGCACACTCTCTCCTTTACGTATTGACCATTCCCTGTTTTGACAACAGCTGCAGATGTTGGAAATGGCCATTAAAGGAGCTCCTTCTCTTACTAGCACTAACACAGTTTTTGCCAATAAACTGAAAGTTTGGGGGTTGAATCCAAAGGAGACAAGGAATGTTTACAGTGAAATTCCATGACGATGCAAATTTGTTGTTGTTTAGTCATTGCAAATTTGTTGCTGTTTAGTCGTTTAGTCGTGTCCAACTCTTCATGACCCCATGGACCAGAGCACACCAGGCCCTCCTGTCTTCCACTGCCTCCCAGAGTTTGGTCAAATTCATGTTGGTCACTTGGATAACACTGTCTAACTATCTCTGTCGTCTCCTTCTCCTCTTGCCTTCACATAATGCAAAGTAGAGTAGGACAAAACATTGTAATAGCTCCTCCTTGTTTTCGTCCTCTCCACCCCCAGATCTTCGGTATTGTTGAAGGCAGCCAAACTGGAGTGCTGGTTGATGTGTCTGACGTAAGTTATGGACCAAGGCTACATGACTTTCAGAGGGACCTTGTGGTAAATATTACCAAAATTGCACCTGTTTTAAAGTTAAAAATGGGATGCTGGATGTGATGTTGGGCTAGAATTTTTGCAGTCTGGCTACAGATCTCCACTGCCTTGTGTCTTGGGCAAGTTCATGTATAACAGAAAGCAAAATCAATGTCTTCTGGCTCTTTTGAAACTAGCAAGTTTATTTTAACATGAGGATTTTCATTATAATCCAGCACGAGATTTTGTTGGGTATTTTAAGGGATATGCATACTAAAACAGACTAACTTCTTTGAACACCGAGCAATTTCTTCCTTTTAGTCTGTTGGACACTAAAAACAACAGTTACAGTACCTGAAAGACTAACCCATTTTATCTGACTCAGTTTTGCCCAGATCAAAATCCCGTCAGTGCCACTTTCACCTCCCTGCCCTCTCTCTTCTCTATACACCTTTTTCTTTCAGTTTGTCGAAATGAGTAAAATGATATGCCTCATGGTTCTGAAGGCAACAACAAGAACAAAACATGGGTGTGACCCTGAGAATCTTTGGAGTTACTTTTGTGTATGCCACATAGCCTATATATCCTCCAAATTTGGAGAAATCCAGCCAAAACAGCCAGGATCCTGTTACGTACCTAAGCCTGTTGGCATAATTTTATCGACATAAATTTCAGCTGCAAGAGGTCAGCGTAGGAACCTGCCACTGTACAACAATGGCATGACGTCCATCCAACCCACTTAGCAAATCTGGTGAAAATCTATCTGATTGTTTCACAGTAAGAAACATACAGAGGGATGGAAATTTGCTTTTATCCATGTAAATAACTTCTTCATCAGTGCTTCAAAAGCTTGTGGCAAATAAAACTTTCTGATCTTCAAGGTGCTCTTTGTTATTTGTGTTGCAGTGGACTAACAAAGTAGTGGCCACTAGCAACTACAGTGGTGCCCCGCATAGCGAGGTTAATCCATTCCGGATTAACTGTTGCTATGGGGGAACATCGCTATACGGAAAGTAAAAACCCATTGGAACGCATTAAACTTTGTTTAATGCGTTCCAGTGGGGCCCAAACTCACCGTTCAGCAAAGTTTCTCCATAGCGCCGCCATTTTCGCGCCCTCGGTAAGCGAGGGCAGGGTGCGAAAACGCTGCGCGCAGCCATTTTGGGCGTCGGGCGGGCATTTTGGAACCGCCGATCAGCTGTTTTAAAAAATCGCTATGCGAAAATCGGTAAGCGTTTCACTTACCAATCGTCGCTAAGCGATTTTTGTCCATTGGAAGCATCGGTATGCGATTGCATTAGCGATCGCAAAATCCGCATCGCTATGCAGATTCATTGTTAAATGGTGCGCTCATTATGCGAGGCACCACTGTATTTCACATTATCAGTTTTTAAAGCCCTCCTAGTGAGGTCTTCATCGTGAAATGCAACTCAACACTCAGCCCTTAAAATGCCAAGATGTCCGAGTCAACACTGGATGTTTTACATAAAAGCAGGACTTTTGCATACCTTTTAAAAATTATTATTGCATTAGATGGGAACTACCAGATTTCTCTTTTGCTGATGCATTTCCTGGGGATTGGCATTAGGAGTGTGAGTACTAGGAAGTGAAACCCTTTATCCTTGATGAAAGCAAACTGTAAAGCAATTATATCCCCATTGTAAAAAATGGGGAAAATGTTTCATAGAGATGATCATCAGCTCCTTATATTTAACCTTATTTTAAATACAGTAAGGACCTCCATATCCAGGGGATCAGTATCTCCTGCTTCACATATCCATGTCTGAAAATACCAAAATATTAAAAGTAAAATCCTAGAACTATATATTTCTAAAGGTGTTGCCAGAAATGGTCACTAGAAGGAGCCAGAAACTATGCTACATATAATGTTTGCTAGCAAAATATATTTGTATGATGTCATTACCAGAACTGGCCACTAAAGGGAGCCAGAGAGCATGTTATGTATAATGTTTGCTATTAAAATAGTGTTTGCTATTATCCACGTTTTTCAGTATTTGTGGAGCAGAGGCTTAGAACCGATCCCCCAGGAATATCAGGATCCTGCTGTTATCCTGCTGTTTCTCCATTTGTATCAGACGTGTTTCTTCTCGTTGTTCATTAACTTCTCATATGCAATGCATTTCTGGGCATCAGGAATGCACTGCATCTTATTACTACAATTTATCAGATGTAATTCGTTCTTGGGCATTTGGTGGTTCTGATTTTTCAGTCATTTCATGTGAGCTAGTTCCACAAGCAAGTCATGAACAGTATGGCAGTATTTGTAAATACAGTGGTGCCCCGCATAGCGACGTTAATCCATTCCAGGATTAACGTCGCTATCCGGAATCTGTCACTAAACGTGAGCTAGTTCCACAAGCAAGTCATGAACATAAGAGCGGCAGTATTTGTAAATATCCAGAAATACAGTCTTAATTTTCTTTATTCCAAGAATCAGCTGTCACTAAACGGAAAGAAAAACCCCATGGGAACGCATTAAACTCCCTTTAATGCGTTCCTATGGGGGGAAAACTCACAGTTGAGCGAAGATCCTCCATTGTGCCGCCATTTTCGCCGCCTTGGTAAGCGAGGGCAGCGCACGAAAATGCCGTGGGCGGCCATTTTGTGCACCCGGTGACCATTTTGGAACCGCCGATCAGCTGTTTAAAAAAACATCGCAGTGCGATTTTCGGCCATTTACATCATCGCAATCGCTATGCGGATTAGTCGTTAAATGGTGCACTCGTTATGCGAGGCACCACTGTATCCAGAAATACAGTCTTAATTTTCATTATTCCAAGAATCACAGTAAAAAAAGATAGGGCTAAAAATTTTCATTTTTCAATTGAATGATAAGAAACGGTCCCTCACAAATTGATCTGGGTGGACAGAGAGGTGGGGCGGCTGTGTGTGAGAAAACAAGACAAAGAAATTCTTCTCTATCCCTGATCGTCTTTGACAAAAAGCTTTTGTTTTGTTTATAAGTCCCTAATAGATGAGCAGCTGCGCTACATGAAAAAATTGTACCTAATTTCATTTGGTACCGAGGCTTCGTCTCTTTGGGAGAAACCACAAGAGATCAGTGTGAATGTGTAAGTGTGTTGCCTTGCTCTTTGGGTTTTTATGTTGTTGGCTCACTTGCCGCTATGCGGATTAGTCGTTAAATGGTGCACTCGTTATGCGAGGCACCACTGTATCCAGAAATACAGTCTTAATTTTCATTATTCCAAGAATCACAGTAAAAAAAGATAGGGCTAAAAATTTTCATTTTTCAATTGAATGATAAGAAACGGTCCCTCACAAATTGATCTGGGTGGACAGAGAGGTGGGGCGGCTGTGTGTGAGAAAACAAGACAAAGAAATTCTTCTGCAGCCCTGATCATCTTTGACAAAAAGCTTTTGTTTTGTTTATAAGTCCCTAATAGATGAGCAGCTGCGCTACATGAAAAAATTGTACCTAATTTCATTTGGTACCGAGGCTTCGTCTCTTTGGGAGAAACCACAAGAGATCAGTGTCAATGTGTAAGTGTGTTGCCTTGCTCTTTGAGTTTTTACGTTGGTGGCTCACTTGTGAATTTCGTTGTATGTGTATATACTTACAATGACAATAAATTATTATTATTCATGTATGCTGTTATTATTATTAGTAGTAGTAGTTTTATTTATATGCCGCATTTCTCCCAACAAAGGACCCAAAGCGGCTCACAACATTATGAAGAAGACGCAATATGTTCCTCTTTTTAAGAATTAATTTTGTTTGTTTGTTTGTTTGTTTGTTTGTTTGTTTGTTTGATTTATTTATTTGATTTATATCCCGCCTATCTGGTCTGGTCTGGTTGTACACTTCTCCCTTGAATTGCATGGGTCTGAACAGCATTGGTTTTGGTTTTACACTGATTTTTTTTTCAACAAATAAGTATTCCAATCAATTAGTGTTCAGTAAATAAATATTCCCCTGGCCACCCAGAACCCCATGATTTCAACAATGAAGATGTCAACATGGTCAGTGTGTGTGTTCTGCGCTATCAAGTCAGAACTGATTTATAGCAACCCTAATAAGGCTTTCCAGGTAAGTGGGATATATATTTAAGGAGCGGTTTTACCAGTTCCACTCCCCCAGTAAGTTTCCATGGCTGAATGGGGATTCGAACTCTGTTCTCCAGAGCCCTAGTCCATCTCTCTATCCGCTATAACATACTCGTCCCCAAACACAACTTCTCTAATTCAGCCTCTTGATCAGGAAGTCATAAGGACATTTAAGGCTCTTTACATACAGTACAGTTTGAAAATAGAGATGGGATATTCGTATTTGTAAATGCCGTGAGGCAGGCCTGGTGATCCCAACCACCTGGGTCTCGAATATTTGTATTTGTGTACAAATGCGAATATCCAATATCTGTTTGAAAAGGACTGTCAGTGCTGTGGAAAGAGCTGTTCTTGTTTGTGAAAGAACTGTTTATGCTTCGTAGTTACATTTTTGGCATCAAAGGAGTTATACAGTACACCGATTTTTAATTACACGAGGGTCCGGCACCCTTAATTCCCAGCCTTGTTGAAGGGAGAAGTGTACTTTTATTCATTATGCTGTATTTATTGTGCTCTAAAAATTAGGAATCAAGCCCTAAGAATTTGTGGGCAAGATGACACCTTTGCAAAATTACTGATTTTCGAATTTCAGGAAGTAAATTAGCGCCTATTGGCAATTGTTTTCAATCGTGAACTGGAGATTTTAGAACGACTCCCATTTCTGAAATTAGTATAGGGAGAAAGAGGACCTGATCTTGCTTCCATATTCTTTTACTTTGTTGCCTTCATGTTGGGCACTTTGCCATTTTTATACTTCCTGTACCTTTAAAATTGATGGTCTTTGTAACTCCTGCTTCTATTAGGTATGTTTTTTCCTTTGTTGCTTAATAGAATTATAATACTGGGTGTATTTTTTTTTAATCAACTTTTTAAAGCTTCCTGGTCCTAAGCAAGTTTTGTCTTCTAAAACTAAAATAGCTGGAATTTATAATATGGAGGAAATGTTGTGAATAATCTATAAAATTTAGCCAACTGCTAGAAAATGATGTTTGCCACTTAGTTACGCCTGCATGTATAATCCATTGATGCTAGTTTATGTTATGCAGCTATGACATGAAGAACTGTTTCTTTGGATAACAACAACAGCAATAACAATTATGTGAATTGGGATTATTCAGTTATGGTTTTGACGTTAATTTCAGAGAAATTTCTGGAGCAAATTATAAAGCACCCAGTCTAAGCACCTTGAAAACAATGCAGCTTTTGATTGGGTGATCTCCTTGATAGACAGAGGGAATGCTGTTGTTGTGATATATCTTGACTTCAGCAAAGTTTTTGACCCAATGATATTCTGTTTATCAAGCTAACTAAGTGTGCGGTGAGTAGAACAACAGTCAGAGAGTGATGATCAATGGCTCCTTCTCAAACTGGGAGGAGGTAATAAATGGGCTTACACAAGGGTCAGTTATGGGCCCAGTGCTCTTCCCCTTTTTTAATGAATTGGATATGGGAGTACAGGGAATGCTTATGAAATTTATGGATGAAATAAAATTGGATGGAATAGCTAATACCTTGGAAGACAGAAACAACATATAAAAAGATATAGGCTCAAACACTGGCTATGCTGGCTGGGATGTTTTGGGGGCTGTAGTAGTAGTAGTAGTAGTAGTAGTAGTAGTAGTAGTAGTAGTAGTAGTAGTAGTAGTAGTAGTAGTAGTAGTAGTAACAACAACAACAACAACCAAACCCCAAAATATTTCCAAGCTTTGGTAAACAATAAATTTATACATGTTGACCAAACCTAAATAAATCTTGCTCAATTTTCCACTTGTTCTAAAGACAAATGCACATCTCTGCTTCCAACAGGGACTGGCTAATGTGCTGCCTCTGTAAATTTGGCAAAGTTTGTACTACAACTCCCATCCTTCCAGGAGATGCTGGGAGTCATATAGTTCAAATGAATCGTCAATTTTCTGTGGAGCCTGCTCGAAAGAACACCTCTCCGCCATAACTTTTCCTACTCCCCTATTCACATCTATGGCAAGCAACATATTTTTGGGGTAGCCACAGAGCAGACCTGCAGTACAGTACTTCGCTGCCTAGGGCAACAGATAATGTACGTACTGCCATCTCATACCCCGTTCTTTGTACAGAAGCTGACTCTTTCTTCAGCCCTGGCAATAGGGCAGCCTCTACCACAATCTTTCTATGGGTGCCTGGTTAGTTCAGGATGTAGAATAGGCCCTGCAGCACAAAATGGGATATTTTGAACTACAGTGAAGTTACCATATAATGTAATCCACTTTCATTTCCCCTTGTCTGTAGTTTAAATGAAGCAAAGCAGTGGGTGCAAGGGCTGAAACCCAGTGGTGGCTGCAATCTGCTAAAAGCACTGAAGAAGGCTCTTGGAGTTAAAGAACTGGATTCACTTGTGATTATTGTCGGAAGCTGGTAGGTCATACCTCTGGACCAATGGACAACAAGGATTTTGTTTTTCATTTTCAGTAATTTAGGATTTAGATAGTCCTGGATCAGAGATTGCCGGGGAGTCGACCCTACATTGTTTTCCCTTGACTTCTAGTGTGCAAGAAAGACAGGGCATAGATGTAATAATGAATAAAGATTGGCTTTAATTCCAACCTGTTGACGTAATTGAGCTTCCCAGAGATTTGTATGAAACAAACCTAAAATACTCTACAAAAGAGTAATCCATTGTTATATTTAGAGCTCATACTTAAAGATGTCATAAGTACTTTTTGGGTAGCTTGATCAAACCTTGCAAGGAATGGATCCCCCAGTTTTTTTATTGTCCAGTAGCCTTGCTCTGCCTTCTTTCCCACTTCTCCTGATTTCCACGCTATCAACCATATTCAACTGAAACGGGCCTTCTGATGTGGGCTTCAATGAGAGGCAGATTTTGTCTTGTTAACAAGGTGCTTTCTCATGCTTATGTGATGACTGTGTGATGCCTTTCCTTCCTTCCTTTCTTCCTCCCTCCCACCCAAACCAGCCCAGACCAGGCTTCAGAAATATTATCCGATTACGTTCAGCAGTGTACAGTGGGGAGAGCGATCCTGGTCCATACCGTTACCTATGATTGTAGCAGTCAAGTACCTCCGGTGAGTCTTGAAAATTGGTGGAAGTGGAAGTGGGTGACGTGGAAAACCCGAGGCTGAGGCCGTAGCTTCTCCCGTTGAAAAGAGTTGGTGAGCAGGTAAAATTAGAAGAATGTATTCACGAAGGCTTTCTGGCCAAAGCGGGAAGAGTTCCCCCCTGATGGAATCCGGCTCTGCTCTTCATGCCAGGCGAGCGGATCGAATTGGAAACTGTGCTCCTGAGGTCTGCTCGCCTGACAGTCTTCCCTCTTGGGTCCTCCAGGCTGGCTAATGAGCAGCTGGCCAAGAGAGACACCACAGTTTGCAGGCCATGGCCAGTGAGGAGGTGTCACGTTCCCGGGGGTTACAACAGCCGAAGTCCGATAAACCAATCCAGGGTCAAGGATACCAAGAATGCAAAGCCAATGTCCATAAATCAACTCACAGAATGAAGTCCAGTGTCAAAGTCCAGAGTCCGATATACAGCGTAGTCCAGGGTCAGAGTCCAAAGTCCAATACTGGCGTAGTCCAGGGGCAGAGTTCAGAGTCAGGAACATGGTTCAAGAAGCGTGGATGCAAGCCAAGGTTTTGACTCTTTGCTTCCACAGAATTTCTGGCTTCACTGGGAGCTGTTTTATAGTAAAACAGCTCCTTGAGCTGCTGGAAAGCTTTCTATCCTTTTTATACTCAGGACTACAGTAGATGATCGTAGGTTTCTGTGGACAGCCTTTGAGCGACCCTCTGATCTTCTTGTCCTAAGTCTTTCCCGAAGCCTGGCCCGAAGCTTGTCTGCTGTGGAAGGAGAATCTGGAGGCGATTCAGGTGTTTCTGATCTTTCAGCATTCTCTTCAGCCTCAGTTAACCCTTCTGGTTCCAGGTCTTCGGATGCACTCATGACAGGAGGGGGCCCAGCGGCAACCACTGCACCTTGGCATCACCAAAGTAAGATGGAGAGGGGCAAATGCAGCCTAATACGCAATTGCTACAGAAATGAAAGATCATTTAACTAAGGAGGAGTGAGAATGTCAATTAGGGATTATACTGTTTTTCCACCGGGAGGAATCAGTGCTCCAGGTGGATAACAAATATAGTCAGGAACAGATAATGATATTATGAAAACAATCACAATAATAAACATTAAAGTGGTCACAACTAGAACATCATCGGTAGCAATATACTTCAGAACTGTTTAAGATGCGTTTTAAACGCATGTATTCTCATTGTGTTTTTTAAAACAGCAATAGTGAGATCCTGTTGCAACTGTAAGCAAAAATCAACAAATTTGTTTGGAATGGAAAGGACTCAAAAGCAAGTTCAAATGAAGGAATAAGTGAAACTAGCAGATTCATCCATCCAGGCAGAAGACTTTTGTGGTTAGGTATCCTGGTACATTCAGCCATATTTGTGGTACTGGGGCTTTTCCTTAGAGGTTCCTCATTTTGAACACCTCAATAGGAGGTGAATAGAACATTATCCTTTCTGGGGGTCTTGGAAGAGCTGCATCTGTAGAAATTAGCCGGTGGGGGATTTCATTGAATTCCTTTCTCTAGAAGAACACACTGGCATTTGCAAACTTCTTCAGATACTTGAGTAAAAACTGGCAAGAGTCTTTCATCCCACTGTTTAATATGGTCAGATTTCTCTTGGTAGTTTGAGGCATTTTTTAGAATTCTGTTTACCAACATTAGTTAGCGGATCTGAAGTTCTATGTAAGGTTGCATCGAAAAGAGATTTATTTATTTTTTTTGCAGCAGAGAAAGCCCCATGTCAGAACAGTGTATATACACAATCTTGAGCTGTAGAAAAGCAACTACAAATGTTTTAAAAACAATATCTTCATAATTGTTTCCTGATTGTATTTCAGTGTTTTGAATTTTTTTAATTAGTATTTTTTTGTGCTTTATAAAATTCTGGTTTTGGGAATGTGATATCTTATGAAATTCTTCAAGGCTCAGCCATTTTCTTTGATACAATTCATGCAGGCTGCCCTAAAGAACATGGCAGAAGAAGTGGGAGGCCGTTACCACTGTTATTCAGCAAAGAGTGAAGTAGGTGACGCCATAACGGGACACCATGCAAATCGTTTTTAAATGTCATGGTTGCATCGTTTGTGACATACTGGCTTACTCATGTGGAGATTAAAATGGACAGTAATCTTCCTTTTCCCAAGAGGTTGTTACGGGATCAATAGCTGCTGCAACCTCATCTTCTCTCTACCACACGGTTAACCCCATGTCAGTTTCACACACCTGAGGCTCAGGTTTCTGGCAATCAATCAGTCAATCAATCAATCAATCAACCAACCAATCAATCAATCATCAATCAATCAATCAATCAATCAATCAATCAATCAATCAATAGTTACAACTTCAAAAACATAAACCTCTCAGAGCCCCTGTTTGCCCCTATTTTCACCTCTCACGTGAGACTTTTATCTTGTTTGTTTACGAGATCACATTTGTACACATTTCACCTATGTTAATTAAAATAATGCAGGCAGGACACCGTGCATATGTAGGATTATCTTGCACATTTCACAGACTAAGAAATTATTAGTTTGGAAATGATGAATGGGAAGCATTGGGTCACCTCCCACTTATTTTCTGAGATGCTTTTCCTCTTATCTTATACCCATTAAAGGCTATTGTCTTTGGACATAAGTGCTCTGAGCACTTACTTGCAAAGCTTGGGTGAACCACTTGTAAGACTCCATATACTGTTTGTTTTGTACCCAGTGTTCATTGTGATGGCTGGCATTATTGGCAGCTGAACATCCTGAGAGCACCTCACCTTGGCCACCTCCCTGGTAAATGGCCAGACCTGCATTGTTTTAAAAGCCAGCGGCTTTTTGAGAATGAAGCTTAGCTTAGTCATTTCTTTTGTTTTGATTTGCTGTTGATATTTCTGCTATTTAATTTAATTTGGATTGTTTATTATGTACGCTGCCATTTTTAAGCTGATGTTTGAAGACCGAATCGAGAAAGAGGCACATAAAAAGCTGGAAATCCATAATGTATTATTGTGTAATATGTTAAAATTAATATTTATATAAAAATACACTAGTATTAAATAAATGCACCTGGAAATAGTTTAAAATTCATCTGATTAATTCAGTATTCTGTATTTAGAATTGTGACAGCAGCGATATCAGCCTTGTTCTTCGCGAACGCCAAAAAGCTGAGGGATTGCTCAGCATCATAAATGAAATCTATGAGGGCAGGATGGCCGACTCACTTTTTAATTTAATGAAAGATGTAAGTTTTCAGTTTATTTAATTTTTTTGGTATTTTACTTTAAAAGTTTAAGCAACAGTGAAATGATTAATTATCTAATTCTTTTCCTCTGTTATGATTAGCTGCTGGGTTTTGGAATTTTTTTTGTGTGTTCTGTGACAGGTTTTAATTCTTATAAATAAATGTCCTGAGGGGAAATTAAACACTAGGAGAGTAGAATATATATATTTTTCTATGAATATTAAACAATAATATTCAGAAATATGGAGAAACTGTGCCTGCATGTAATTTATTTATTTCCAGGGACAGTTTCTGCAGCAAAATCTACAAAGAGTTATTGGTGCATTAAAAACTGATAAGTTTCATTTTCTGCATACTGTAGATTCTTGATACAGTACCTTGATTTCTAAAAGCAAAGCAGAACAAAATATGCTGCTTATATACCAGCCCATAGTGCTTAAAGGTGGCTTACAGTTTAATTATGCAGGCTACACACTGCCCCCCTCCAAACTAGGTATCAACAGCTAGAAGGGTGATTAAGGCAATTCCATTTAAGCAGTGTCAATAAACCTTGTTGCTGTTGTTTAGTCGTTAAGTCGTGTCCGACTCTTCGTGACCCCCTGGACCAGAGCACACCAGGGCCTCCTATCTTCCACTTGGGAAGTGGAAGACAGGAGGGCCTTCCAGTTGGGTCAAATTCATGTTGGTCACTTCGATGACACTGTCCAACCATCTCATCCTCTGTCGTCCCCTTCTCCTCTTTCCTTCACACTTTCCCAACATCAGGGTCTTTTCCAGGGAGTCTTCTCTTCTCATGAGATGGCCAAAGTATTGGAGCCTCAGCTTCAGGATCTGTCCTTCCAGTGAGCACTCAGGGTTGATTTCCTTCAAAATGGATAGGTTTGATCTCCTTGCAGTCCGGGGGCCTCTCAAGAGTCTCCTCCAGCATCACAATTCTTCAGCAGTTAGCCTTCTTTATGATCCACCTCTCACTTCCATACATCACGACAGGGAAAACCATAGCTTTGACTATGCGGACCTTTGTCAGCAAGGTGATGTCTCTGCTTTTTAAGATGCTGTCTAGGTTTGTCATCGCTTTCCTCCCAAGAAGCAGGCGTCTTTTGGTTTCGTGGCTGCTGTCCCCATCTGCAGTGATCACAAAGCCCAAGAAAGTGAAATCTGTCACTGCCTCCATATCTTCCCCTTCAGTTTGCCAGGAGGTGATGGGACCAGTGGCCATGATCTTAGTTTTTTTGATGTTGAGCTTCAGACCAATTTTTGCACTCTCCTCTTTCAATAAACCTGTTGTACATTAATTTGTCTATTATATGACCCATTGCTTCATCTTTCCAGCAATCATCTGAATATAACAGTTTTATCTTATGAGCTCAAGCACTTTCTGCTCCCTGTTCTCTGTCGAGCAGGCCTGATATTCTGAGAAAGGAGCAAAAGCTCGCCTCCCCTTCTGTGCCTTGGACAGGTTGTATCAGCCTTTATCATGTTTCCCCTGTTCTTGCACAGTTTTAGCTCCATCTAGTACACCCTTCCCTTTCTTGAGAGAGTGCGCATCTGTGATCATAGTCAGCGCCTTGCAATTTCTGTTCCTGGAGCATGTTTGCTTATGTATCTGCAGGCATGTGCATGTCTGACCTCACAAAGAACTTTTCCCCTTTCAAGATGCCTTGACTGTGCCACTGATTGTGGCTACAAGCACGCAGATTGCCTTTGTCGATTTGCGCTGGGGAAGATCGAGCCGCGTCCGTTGTAGTAGTCGCCACTTTGTGGGGCAGCCATGTGAGTCGCCCACCAGCATGTGGAATCCCAGCCCATTGGGGTTGGGATTCCAATGGGCTGGAATCTGATTAGGTGCAGATTCAGGCAGGACGTCCCGTCTCAGTCACCTTTTGTGCCCAGCTTGGCTCCTTGCCCCCTCCTGCAGTCTTTCCTTTGGGCACTTGCACACCCCATCTTGTCTTCCTTCACCATTATTCCCTTTGAAGTGTCTAAGGTTCCTCTGAAGGCAATACTCATGGAGGGGGGACGACTACATGGGCTGTTTGCACCCCCTCTTCTTGGTAAGCAGCATGGCAATCAAAGCCACCAAGCGGAACAACCCCTTGGCCGTCTCACCATCCTCTCTGACGGGATCTCTCTTGTCACCCTCAGCTTAATTGGGGAAGAGGGTTTTTTTAAAAAATTAAAAAAGGGGAGGGGATGTAGTGTTGAATTGTAGGTAGGCATCCTTCAGTCTTGAGAGACTATGATATCGTGCCCTATATGGAGGACTTGGAATAGTGTCTAGTATGGTTGAGAAGGCCAATTCGAGAGTGACAATCTCTTCCACACTGAAGACAAATCCAATCTGTCCCCTGTCCAGCTCCCTGGTTTTGCTGCTTTTGTGACTTCCTCTTTGCCTCGGCCTGCTGGACAAGGGTCTCTTCAAATTGGGAGAGGCTGTGATGCAACGCTTGCCTCCAGGCTGAACGCTCAGATGTCAGAGTTTCCCATCTGTTGAGGTCCATTCCTAAGGCCTTCAGATCCCGCTTGCAGATGTCCTTGTATCGCAGCTGTGGTCTGCCTCTGGGGCGATTTCCCTGCACTAATTCTCCATACAGGTGTTGAATTAAAACAACGGCTCCTCGGCTAATAGAAGCAACCGTACACGTCAGAAGCATAAGAGGAGCAATGCATGCGGAATGGCCGCAAAGTATTAGAAGCCTCTGCTGGCTGATCAAAATGCACCAGATGCCCCTGGAAAAAGGCCAGACTTCCATGCAATTGGCTTTACATCATGGAGCAACAGAAAATATTTTCATTTTAACCATGCCAGCTCCAAAACAAACAGAGGGATAAACTGCAGTGTAGCCAAGCCCTTCACAAGATTTTGGCTATTATATTAATATTTGGATGTTTACAGCTATTGAGTATTCAGAAGAGACCAGAACATACTGATTTCTAGAGATAAACTCATATAATATTGCATTTAGGGTTCCGTGGAGTGTCTGAAAGTGTCCTCTACCTGCTCCTTGCCCAAGCCGCCAAAACACGAGAGTCAGCTTGTGATACAAACCCCAAATTTTTCAGCCAAGACCTCGTCCGAATGGCTGAAAACGAACAGCCTGAAAGGTAAGCCGAGCCGTCACACGGCCTAGAGAAGGGGGTCCTTCGGCACCCTGGAAAAGGCTTCTCCCATCGTCCTGCTCTGTGCCTTTTTCTGTTTGCTGCAGCCAAGAAACTGAACCTTTATCAAGTGTTGGCACCAAACGCTTTTTCACCAGTGGAAGAGTATGTGCCTGTTCTTCGGAAAACGGTGTCGTCCACTTTACATGAGGTAAATAAAGCTGTTGCTGCTGTTTAGAATCATAGAGTGTGCAGCCGTCTCCTCCAGCCTCCTGCTTGATAACAGGAAACATATGTTGTTGGACTGCAACTCCCATTGACCCTAATCAGCTTGGCCAATGGTGAGGAATGATGGGACTGTAGTCCAGCAGCATCCGCACATCTGCTGATGTAGGAAATAATGAAATTTACTCGTCTTCAGCAAAGAGCCGGCCAGCTACTTTTCAAGAAGTGTATTAACTTTCCATTGGACTCTGCTCTGTGATAACTAGCCAGGGTAGACACCAATATTAAGCAGTTATAATGATTATAGTAACGATAATGAATCGACAGAGGGATTTTCAGTTGACGTTTCCAGTCAGGGCAGTGGCCAATGTTCTAGTAGTGTTCTTTTTCTGGATCTTGATGCAGCCCCCCAGAACTGTGGGATCCCCATCCTTGATGGAGCCACCCTGGATGCCATAAAAACCTGCTCTGGAAAGGTTTGAAAGCCCTCAAGATCAGCATTTTGGCACTATGGAAGGAGAGGGAGAATCCCCCAGTTCTGCTGATGTTGGATGCCAAAGTAGATTTTTGGATCTTGATTAATCAGTCATTTTGTTGAGGCTTCGTTGGTTACCTTTTCGCTCCCTGAGCCTCAGTTAAAGTGCCGCTGCTGTATCAGCTTAGCCAGGCTTTAAGATGTGTCGCGGCGATTCCCATACCGCCTGCGCCACCTCTTATTGCAAAGGCTTAAATACATTAATACCAAAAAGAGGCAAGGTTTGCTCTGTGGTAGCGTAAAGTGGATCCTCCCTGGGCAAACACTCTTCTCAGTTGATATGTTGCTGCATTAATGGACGGTTTGCCTTCTCATAAGCTGCTCTGAGTGTTCACGGGGGAAAAGAACAGGAAAGACAGACAGACAGAAAGACAGAAACAGTTTCAGTATTTGTACTGTGCATTTGGAAACCCCTCTCCATTCTTCTTTCCCATCCAGCAGCTTTCTTCCCATTGTGCAGTTTAAAAAACCGGAAAGGAACCCACCAGTTGTACATAGATCAGTTTTGGTGTAGAAATCCATAGAAAGTGCAAGATTCCTATAAGTTTCCTAAGGTAATGTTAGGGAGTGTTTGGATTTCCAACCCAAGCAACCCCGGAGTCCCACTCTTTGCCTCTCCTGTTCTTGACCAATAGCAGAGCAGGAGGGGGGTGTATCTCTCCCAAGCTGTCCAATGAGAGTCAGGAGTTCCTTCCTTTCTATTTCAGTTATTCCTGGGGGTGAGTGCCTCCCACCACCCCACCATTCTCCATCCTCTTAAAGAACAACCTACAGTGGTGCCTCGCTTAACGACGTTAATTCGTTCCAGCGAAATCGCTGTAGAGCGAAAACGTCATAAAGCGAAATAAAAAGCCCATTGAAACACATTGAAAACCGTTCAATGCGTTCCAATGGGCTGAAAAACTCACCGTCCAGCAAAGATCCTCCATAGAGGCGGCAATTTTCGGTGCCTGTAGAGTGAGGAATCCGTCCAAAAACACAGCGGGGAGCCATTTTGAGCACCTGGCGGCCATTTTGAAAACCCGCCAATCAGCTGTTTTGATCGTCGTAATACAAAGAATCGGTTCCCGAGGCAGGGAACCGATCTTCGCAAAGCGAAAAAAAACCATTTAAAACAATTGCAATTGCAATCGCAAAAACATCGTCATGAAGCGGATTCGTCATTATACAGGGTAATCGTTAAGCGGGGCACGACTGTATATGAAGTTGTAACCTGTGTGCCCCTTGCACGTAGCCAGGAAGTGGTGCTTGAATGTTAACTGTGTGGCGCATCCAGTTATTACACTTTCAAAAAGGAAGGATTAATATTGTGCAGTGGGCTTTTCCCCCCCTTCTCTTTTCAGAAAGCAATGATGCAGTTTGAGTGGCATGATGGGACTATTAAAAATGTTCACGTAGATCCACCAATACTGTACGACTACCAGGTAAATGAGAGACTTATATATTTTTATGTATTTGTACCCTGCTTTTTTTTCTTAAGAAGGTCCCAACGAGGCTTACATCATTTGTTACTCTGTGTATACCCATGTCTCATAGCCTTCAGGAAATGTTCGCTATGTGCTGTCAAGTCACCTCCAGCTCATGTCAACCCTATAAATGAATGATCTCCGACATGTCCTGTCCTGAACGGCCCTGGTCAGGTCTTGTAAACTCAATCCTGGGGCTTCCTTGAGGGAGTCAGTCCATATTTCATTTGGTCTTCCTCTTTTCCTGTTGCCTTCTGCTTTTCCCAGCATTATTGTCTTTTCCAGAGAAACCTGCCTTCTCATGATAGGCCCGAAGTAGGGCAGCCTCAGCTTCATCATGTTTGCCTCCAGAGATAGTTCAGCCTTGATTTCATCTAGGACCCACTTGTTTGTCTTTTTAGCAGTCCAGGATATCCACAAAGCTCTCCTCCATCAGCCCATTTCACACAAATCAATTTTTTCCCCTCTCAGCTTTCTTTACTGCCCAGCTTTCACAGTTTCAGGAAACAGAGGGCTCTTATTTTCCTTGCTCCTTCCAACTGCTCTGGCCTGCTACTCAGAAGCCACTCTCCTATACAAGTTCTCTCCATGCTTACTGTAAAAAATCAGCGCATTTAGTGTCACAAGAATTGATGATATTTGTGTATTCAGTGTCTCCTCTCTGATCTCATGTTATAGAAGGACACATAAAACAACGAAAAGCATTAGAAGAGCATCACATTCCTTCTGATTCTCAGAAATTCTAAGCCTTAAGACGGGAACATAGACCTGTGTCAGAACGCATGTTTTAGTACAAGGTAGAGGACCAGATATTCCCATCTTTGAAAGATGGTGGCTCACATCCACTCTAAAAATCTTTTCTTTAAAAGGAAGCTGATTTACTGAAAAAGGCCCTTGTGGCCACAAAATGTGTGGGGGACAAATAGAAAAAGCATCTCCCATGCCCCCTGAAGAGCACTAGAGGGATATATCAAGTTTAGAGGGTGTGGGCCCATTCCTGGTTTAGAAGGTCCCAGCTGCCATCCATGTGTCAAAAGGACCAGAAAGTAAGATGACTTGGAAGACTTCAGCCTGAAAGTCTTGGAAATATGGCTTATTTGACTACAACTCCCATGTTTCGTGGGAGGCTCCAGAAGTGGAAGCCCCAAAAGCACTTCGCCTGTCTCTGCCTGGATCCTTTCTAGTTGCCTCACCGGCTATCTGAAATATTAGTGAAATGCTTAGCCTTTTAACATCAGCCACCTCTCTTAACAGAAGCGACTTAGCCGGATGGTGAGGATGTACGAGCAACGCATTGACTGGCTCTCCGCAGGAAGCAGAAGAATTTGGGGAGCTGTGAGTGAGAAGAGGTATTCTTCTTTTGCTGCTACATGTACACCAATGTATGTGGAAGGATGTCCACCTTCCCTCTCTATTTTATCTATCTCTGCATCAAAACATTGGGATGGCATAATGATAATCAGGTGCCGCCAAGCCAGCTCGGACTTACGATGACCCGTTTCAGAGTTTTCTAGGTAGAGAGTACTCAGAAGTGATTTGCTGTCCCCTCCTTCTAGGGACACCCTGGAACAGTGCAGCTTGCCCAAGGCCACCCAGGCTGGCTATTCTTCCTGGAGGCCCAGTGGGGGAACTGAACTCCCAGCCTCTGGCTCTACAGCCACTGAGCTATCCAGTATACCTTAAGATAATTTTAAAACCCAGTAAATGTATAAAACAGCTACACTAGGGTGTTGCAGAAACAGCAATGACCACACTGAGAAACAAAATTCAACAGATAAACCCATGTTCAGAATAGTTTAACCTGCATGCCCCAATCTAATATTCTCACCGCTACGATATGCTGGCTCTCTTCAGAATCTCTGGACCATTTAAAATGGGAAAAGACCAATACTGGTGGAAAAGGTATGCTTCTGATGCTGGCTTTTCTGATTAGGGTTGTTGTGCTTATTGATACCTCCAAGACCAACTCCATGTACATCATTCATATCCAACATTCCCTGCGACTCTTGCTTGAAGAGCAGATGTTGAGCAAGGAGTTCTTCAACATTATTGCGTAAGTAACCATCAGATGCATGCGGTGGAATTTTAAGGACCACACAGATCATCAGTGGAGATTGAGTATGATTACTCAGTGAACTTTCTCCATTAAGAGGCACCCTTTCCATGAACACCAGTTCCTAGAATTGGGTGGGGAGTGGCAAATACTGGAATGATGTGACACCCCTTTAAAAAAAACCAAAAACATGCATGCCACAAGAGCAACAAAGGGTCTTGTTGTACCTTAAAGAGCGAGAAATCTGATTTGGCATAAGCTTTGGTGGATTGTGTATAGCCCACTTCATCAGAAGCATGTGGAGCGTTACCCCAGTTTGTTGTCATTATGTGTCGTCAAGTCAGAACCAACTTATACAACCCTAATGGGGCTTCCACGGTAAGTGAGATATTTAAGGAGTGGCCTTACTAGTTCCACACCCCCAGTGAATTTCTATGGCTGAGCAGGGTTTCGAACCCAGGCCTCTTGACTCCTAGTCCATTACTAGGAGCACTACAGTGGGTATCTTGTAACTTCGGTAGACAGGTATTTACATCGCTATACGGTGCACTCGCTAAGTGAGGCACCACTGTAGTTCCACACCCCCAGTGAATTTCTATGGCTGAGCAGGGTTTCGAACCCAGGCCTCTTGACTCCTAGTCCATTACTCAATCCATTGCACTACAGTGGGTATCTCGTAACTTTGGTAGACAGATATCTATACACATTTTCTGAGGTCCACGTATCTGAAGAAAGGGGCTGCAGCTCAGGAATACCTTCTGCCAAATAAAACCTGTTAGTTTAAGGTGCCAGGAGAGTCTTTTCAGACTGGCAAGAACCCTTTCCCTGAGGCATGCTTAGAAGCCAGACAGTCATAGGTGGACACTTCTCTGATCAGTCAATAACTGGTTCAAGAAGAGGTAGTGGTCAATATTTTATTGTAACATAACCACTATTCCACATTCAGGTATTATGCAAATATATCTTTTTCTGAAGTGTTTCTCTGCTTTCATGAAGAGAGGAGCAAAGGGAGAGAACATGACCGTACACCAGTGTTTCCCAACCTTGGGTCACCCAAGTGTTCTTGGACTGCAACTCCCAGGAGCCTTCACCACCAGCTGTGCTGGCCATGATTTCTGGGAGTTGCCGTCCAAGAACACCTGAGTTACCTAAGGTTGGGAACCACTGCCTTCCCCCATCAGCATAACATCCTGCCACACGAAGTCAGAGTAATCGTAACGACAGCTAGCCTCCGGTAGAAGACAAGCAAGATTTGGTTTTTGTTCCATGTCAGAAGCACCACAGTACAATCCATGAATAAATCAGATCATTTTCACTCAATGTTGGCCAACACCAAGAGCATCTAACATCAAGGCTTCTAGGGGCATAGCGTATCCTGATGTAGGCATGAAGTTTTTTTAGATTCACCTTGATTCTGCCAACTTCCGACTGAAGCCTATTACGTGACTTCCACGTAACTTTCTCGTGTGGTTGTGGACAAGACTTTCAAAGGGTTCAATCCCTAGCAAGACATGGGCCGGCCTTTCTTTTGTCATTACAGTCCTGGCATTCTCTGCTGTTCCTTTGAGATCCACCAATGAACTGATTGTTCCCTTGATCTTAATCTGGTAGGGGGAGGATGGCAGGCAAAGAGGGGTGTGTGCATTTTATACTGATGATTTGAGTCTTCCACTGTTGGCTGCGCCCTCTCCCCATATGTCCCTGGGTGCAACGCCTGCTAGGTAATAGAGAGCACGACTAGAGAGTTGGAGCGATTTGGTTCACACTTAAAAGGCTCTTCACTTCAGTATGATCTATTTTGTCTCGCACTTGAGCAATCCTTTCATTCACATGGGAGACGTGTCTATGACAAGGATCTAGCCAGCACTACAGATTGCTCCAATTTCTCCCCTTTCCAATGAGTGACACCCCTTTCCACACATTTTGTTGCTCAGGGGCCATGGTAACGTCCCCTCGCTCCCTTTTTGATTAATTTTTCCTCCCCATGAAGCAGCACTGCATCAGATACAATGCAGGCACTGGAGGGCACCTCCTGTGTATTAGAACTGTGCCGCATCAGTGAGGGATGTTTTTGTAAAAGAAGAAAAAAGTTAGAGAAGACGAAAATAGAGGCAGGGATTTCTCCATTGTCGCTTTTAATGTCACAGCCCATTGTGTACATCACAAGGTCGTTGCCACAGAAAATGTCACCCACAACTCTCTTTGGAACTGGATTAGCCAGCCATCTACGCATGTCTCCACTGTCGAGGGGCAATGAACCAGGAGGTTCATAAACCACCCAGGAATGTGTTGGTCTAGGAAAGTTCAGATTCTCCCGTTTGGACGAGCTGCAACCAATCCGAAACAACGAACTAGTGATTTTTGACAAATCTGGTTCATTTTTAGCTCCGTGCCCATCTCTACTTATTATGCCTGAATCTTTAGATTGAGCTGCAGCTGTGAATGCCACCACTGTTCAGTTATTTCATTTCTTTACATCTCTTGCAGCTTTGGAAGTGAGGTGAAGGCCTGGCAATCTGAAATGGTTCCTCTCCACCCTGACAACTTACAAAGTGCCTGGAAGTAAGTAAATATAATTCTCTCCCACCCACCCCCACTCAACTTTCTATTTAAAACTTTCTGGGCAAAGTTCTAGATGATTAACTTTTCTTCCTTTGTATTCAACTCAACATTTTCTGGTTGTAGGCTGACATAATGACTTTAATAGATGGACATTGAAAGGGTCCCATGGGAGTCCTTGGCAGCTCTTCCACCCTGATCCACTTCAGAGATCATCTGTCTTTTTTAGAATCTGGGGAGGTTGGGGATGAAACAAAACATATATGATATGATTTGCTGGATATGATCTTCACAGTTGATTACAAATTTGTATTCAAAGACTGATTATCAAAATGGGAAGAGGTTATAAGTGAAGTAGCCTAAAGCTTTGTCTTCAACATTTCTATCAATGACTTGTATGAGGGAGTGCATGAAATGCTAATCAGATTTGCTCTTAACACAAAATTGGGTGGAATAGCTAATACTTTGGAAGACAGAAAACAAAATTCAGAAAGCTCTTGATAGGCTCAAGTACTGGCCTGAAAACAACAGAATTAAATTTAACAAAGATAAATGCAAAATTCTACACCTAGGGGGAAAAACCCAATGCACAATTACAAGGTAAGGGATGCATGGCTCATTAATACTACATGCAAGAATGATCTTGAAATTATTGTAGACTCCAAGCTGGATATGAAGCAACTGGGCAAAGCAAAGCAACTGCACAAAAAAAGGGCAAATGCTAGTTTAGGCTGCCTTTATAGCCTCCAAATCACATTAAATACTAGTCCCCTCTATTCAGCACCGGTTAGACCTCACCTTGAATATTTTGTCCCATTTTGGACACCTCACTTTAAGAAGGATGCCAACAAGCGAGCAAATTCAGAGGAGGGCAACAAAGATGATCACAGGACTGGAAAACAAGCCCTATGAGGAAAGACTGAAATACTTGGGCATGTTTAGGGGAAAAAAAGACCGAGGGAAGCTATGACAGCAGACTTCAATTACTTGAACGATTGTAATCCAGAGGAGGGCCGGATCTGTTCTCATCCATCCCAGACAGCAGGACACATAATAAAAGACTCAACGTACAGGAAGCCAGATTTCCACTGAATTTTTTTTAAAAATCCCAATTATAACAGCACTACAATAATGAAACCAATTATCTCAGAAGGCGGTGAATGCTCCAACACTGGAGGCATTCAAGAGAAAATTAGACAACCACCTGGCAGATATCTTTTGATTTTGATTCCTGCATTGAGCAGGGAGTTGGACATGATAGGCTCCTTCCAACTACATTATTCCATGATTTCTTCCTCCTCCCCCCCCTTACTGGCTTCCTGAATCACTGCTAAATTTTGAACCTCCCCTGATGTGCCCTCGGCAGTAAACATATCTGCCATTTCAAAATGCAACTTGTAAATAGCATCTGTTTAAGCAACCTGGACTAAATTCATTGAAAATTAGGTTTCCTGGTGATTCTTTTTGTTTTGTTAGTGGATCAAAAAATCCCAATTATAACAGCACTACAATAATGAAACCAATTATCTCAGAAGGCGGTGAATGCTCCAACACTGGAGGCATTCAAGAGAAAATTAGACAACCACCTGGCAGATATCTTTTGATTTTGATTCCTGCATTGAGCAGGGAGTTGGACATGATAGGCTCCTTCCAACTACATTATTCCATGATTTCTTCCTCCTTCCCCGCCCCCCTTACTGGCTTCCTGAATCACTGCTAAATTTTGAACCTCCCCTGATGTGCCCTCGGCAGTAAACATATCTGCCATTTCAAAATGCAACTTGTAAATAGCATCTGTTTAAGCAACCTGGACTAAATTCATTGAAAATTAGGTTTCCTGGTGATTCTTTTTGTTTTGTTAGTGGATCAACGATTAACCTGAAAGCTTCCAACCCAAGAAGCTCTGGATGCAGGGGTGGGGGTGGGGAAGGGAGAAACCAACCAAAGAAGGAGAAACGCTGACAGGAGATGGTGTCACGGTTTGTCATAGATGGTGCCGATTTGACCCACCTGGGCAGGGGGAATAGAACTCTGTCATCAGCATGAAGAAAATGTGGGGTGGGAGGATGCTCTTTTGGGTGAGCCCTGAGCATAGGGAGAGACGGGGAAATCCTGCAGGTAAAACGAGCTTGTGCCTCCCTCCCACAACAACCCCATCCAGAAGCAAAGGCTCGTTCCTAGGCAGCATCAGATGCTGCTCATGGGAAGCGTAGTTCACGCTGTTGCACAACAGTAACAGCAGCTTGAAAGGCCACCTGAGGCTTTTACTGCTCCTTGGGCATTTGGGTCATGGGGAAAGTTCTTGTTCCAGGTGGATACTGAACCTGCCCTGTGAAGGCACCAGAAACGTAATGGCTGCACTTCGAAGAGCTGTGGAGGTGGACTTTAAAGATAAAGAAAAACACGAGTCCCAAGGCCTTTACCTATTCACAACTGGCATTCCTGACCAAGAAATGGTGGGTGTAATTCCATAATTGGCTTATGCTACATCCCATATTGCTTGCTCCATATCAAGAATTATTGTATATACACACACACAATCTCTCTCTCTCACACACACACACATACACGCACAAGCGTGGCACTTGTGGGGGGGTTGACATGGGGCAGTACATTCAGACATGCATTCTTAAGTGGTACAATCTTGCATGAGGGCTGTGCAATGTCTACTTTCTTAATGTTTGTACTGGTGGATGAACTCAAAATGTTTATTATCTGGCAGAATGTGGGAAGTAGTACAAGGCACAATGGGTCCCCTGGACGTAATTGGATTGTGACATCCACAAGCCCTTTCTATTGGCTGTGCTGGGTGTGGCTGATGGGAGTTGTAGGCCCAAACACTTTTTGGAGGGGGCAAGGCTCCCTACCACTGTCCTGGAGGATACTAATACAGATTTCAATTTCTAAGCTGGATTTAAGGACAACTGCATTTCTTGTCAACCTCCTGTTGCATAAGATACGTTGGTGGAAGGGAAATGGTGTACCTCACAGTGGCAGATTGCCACTAATTAACAAGTCGCCAGTCTTGTAGGCCCAAACACTTTTTGGAGGGGGCAAGGCTCCCTACCACTGTCCTGGAGGATACTAATACAGATTTCAATTTCTAAGCTGGATTTAAGGACAACTGCATTTCTTGTCAACCTCCTGTTGCATAAGATACGTTGGTGGAAGGGAAATGGTGTACCTCACAGTAGCAGATTGCCACTAATTAACAAGTTGCCAGTTGGATGGAGAGCTCGGTGAGCTGGAACTGAGGACCAGGGAGGGAGAGTTTGATTCCTCATTGTGCCTTGTAGGAGAAGAGACAGCTTGCATATTCTTGGGCAATCTACACAGTTCCAGAGTGCCCCCAGAAGAAGGGAGTGATAAGTAATTTCAGAAGCCCTGGAAAAGAGTTGCCATTAGTCAGAATCAACTTGCCGCCACATTAACACGTCACCAGTTCCTCACTGCATGCCGGTCTGGCAGGTTGGGGCATGACTGGTAAATCAAGTCGTATTTTGCTAATTAGGAGCAATTTGCCTCTGTGCCATTGTCCTTCTGCTAGTGTGACTGTGCAACTGGATGTTGGCCAAGCATCCAAAAAGACTTTAAAGACCTTTGAGACCCATGTAAATTCAATGAGCTGAACCAACTTGCCAGTGCCAACTAAAGTGCCCCCTGAATCCAGTTGGGACAAACAGATTTAGCCCAATTAGGTGAGATGACACTCCTTAAATGGTGCATATTCCTTTCAGTATGCAATATGTTCTTACATGGCGGAAGTCTGCGGAGGGTGCGACTTGCAGCTGCATGTCTGTCTGTTCAGCATCAACGATCTCCTGCTTGAAGACAACATCCCACCACGCTACTCAAGTCCAAATGAAACCGCTGCCGCTTTTAAGGAAATTGTTTGGGCTGCCAATGGCCGCTTCCATTGGTTTGGAGAAACAGGTGTGATGGGGAGGGTGTGTACTGTATGCTTTTAATCTATCCCCTTTGGCTCCACTTCAGGATCTGTGCATTTCTGTAATGGATCCCATGCTTCATCCCAGTGAAATTACTCTTTTACTTTAAAAACAACACTTTGCCTTTGCTTCCTTGTGCATGTCAGGCATGCATCCTTAAGAATGCTCTCCCAAATTTAATTGTCTTGCATTGGAGGCTTCCTGAAGCTCGCCTAGCAAAGTGTTGTCTTCTCAAGGGAATCTGTGGCCTTCTACATGTTCTTGAGGTGGAACTTTCATGAGTCCCACCAAAAATGATCAGTAGTTGGCCAGAGATGATATCCCTTGAAATCCAGCATCTAGAAAGTCATATTCCTCTACTCTTGGCCTTCCCTGGCCATGTTTTAAAGTTCTGCGCATATGGTAGATGTCCATCTTTTTCTATTTTCTCCCCTCTCTCTGTCCTAGGCATCTATGAAAGTGATGATATCAGCCTTCTGCTCTCTGAAATGGAAAAAGCAGTCAACTATTCTCACAAGGTACACATTCAGCATCTCTTAAAATGTTTGCCATTTTTATTAGGTTGAATGGTGCGCACTTTTTAAGTGATATTCTCCAGCCTTGGCAGGCTCATGATGCCCTCAATAGGCATTGTCTTTGACACTGGTCAGACCATTCCCTCTGGTCCCCATCTCCACAGTTGTCCAAGTTGAGAGGACAAGATAGGCAAAGATGGTTACTCTGTTGTTTTCCCTTCGTTGGTACTGATTTGCTTGCAAAGGGCAGGTGACTAGGCAATAGAAGAGGAGCTGTAGGTAGGCTGAAGGGAATCTGTAGGCAGTGACCTTAGCAGTCGCTTGAGGCCATGAGTTTGCAGCCTGAATAGATTGCTATGCCATTGTTAGAAATCAATGCAGTGTGAAAGGGAAAGAGATATTTCTAAACTTGTGGTAGATACGAGCTTGGGAAACAGATGTTTATTCCCTCCTTTCTTATTCATTAGCAGGAAGCCCTCAAGACCTATTAGTAAGGGAACTAATGGTCAAAACAAGAACAACTGAATATAATCTAAGAGCAACATACTGAACTTGTTTTGTGGAATTTATTATCCTCCAGATCTTGTTGGGGTTGTGATAAGAGTTGATGAGAGTTGTGGTTCAACATTATCTTGAGGGCCATGTCTTCCCCATACCTAAGTCAGAAAGGAGCAGGTTGAAGCAAGTGTTTTGATAGCTGTCTGTCTCAGAGAGAGGGAACCCATTAGTGTGAATTCACAGAGGACCACTCGAAGAACCAGAGTTACAGGTAAGTAACCTTTCTTTTTGATAGCTGTCTGTCTCAGAGATAGGAAGAAAGACAACTGTTGGCATCAATTTACAAAGTTCATTTCTGCCCCAGGTCTTCAAGCGTTTGGGAGTACGCAACTTCACTTCGGCTTCAGATTAGATGAAAATAATACTCTTGTTAGTTATTTCCTTTGCAGCTCAGTCTTGGTAGAAAGTGTAAGGCCTCTATTAATTCATCCATGGACTTTTGCTTGCAAGGAAACTGTCGAGACCGTCTTTTGTTTTCAGTGTGCCTTGCTGGTGGAATCCTTAAAGCATCGAGCAGGAAGTCAGCTGGCTAACCGATCGACTGCTGAAGAAGACCTAACGCTGTTGGAGAAACAGGAGAAGAAGAGATTGCAAAAGCTACCAGCTCCAAAACCAACAGCCCTCAGTCTTGCCAGACTGGTACGATTCTCTCTGGCATTTGCAGGTGAAATCTGTCATAATCAGTGCCCACCGTCACAGACGTAAAGGAAGGAATATGTTACCAGCGTGCAGCCCTGTCAGAGATCCAGTTGCTAATGCTGATTCTTGAGCCAAAAAATCCTGCCATGCCCAGAGATGATGCTCCCTGCTCTGTGATCGCTCATTCTCAGGCTAAAACTCTCTTTCATTGGCCCCAGAAGATATTTCCTCCTTCTTTACCTAATCCCTTTCACCCTTTAGGGCAGAAACGGCCTAAGCTTAAGAAGGAGGGCCTCTAAAGATTTATATTAAGATACTCCCATCTTTCAAGAGATGTGAGTCATTCTTTGTTGTTTCGGCTGACATCATTGGGGAAAGGTCACTTCAGCTGTTAAAGCAAAATGGATTGAGGCATATTGCCGTTGTGGTGTGTGAGGTTTTGTGCCTCCCCAAAAAGATGCAGCCCATCTGCCAAGGCATCTTGTCCCATCCACAGTGTTTTCTGCAGGTGGCTCCTTTCGAGGAAATCAGCAAGACACGGAGGTGGGCTCTACCCATCCAAAGTGTTACCAGACTGTCAAATCTGCTCAGCAGTAGCCTCATTTGATGAAAGGCTGTAAACCTCTACCCATCCAAAGTGTTACCAGAGTAGCCTCTTTTGATGAAAGGCTGCGGTGCCACCTGTTTAAAGGTGTACATTTATCTTGGACACGTCCCATTACTGGATGGGTCCTTCCTGTATGCCAAGAAATTTGCGGTGAAGAACATGAGGTTCTGCTCTGGGGAGGAAGAAACATCCAGACCTACCTGGGCAGTGGCTGTTTTAATTTTTCCCCTTACAACACCTTATTTTCTCCACCTGGTCCCATCCTGCCTTTTCTCACTTCTCCTTTCTTTCGTGTAATTCTATGGAAGGAAAACTGGAAGGACCTAAAGGAGACATACAGAAAGCTCTCCTTAGTCTTCCACCCCCTCTCTTTTCTGGGCAGGCATGAGTTTAACCTATTAACGAGAGATCTCCTTCTGCACAGTCTGGAAGCAGCAATGGCTAACTGAATATTTAGGGGGACAAAGACGCCTTCTGAAAGAGCCCGCAATCAAACTCTGTGGGATTTACTGCCACACCCACAAGACATGGTGGTTACCAATGTTGATGGCTTTAAATGGGGTTAGACAAGACTGTATTTTTTCCCCTCCGGTATTGGAAGCAATATGCTTTGGTATAGCAGTTGTTGGAGAATACAGGTGGGAGGGTGTCACTGTCTCTGTGGTTTACTCGTGGGCTTTCTATAAGCATCTCGTTGGTCACTGTACAACCCCAACGTTGGACTGGGCAGCTTTTTCAGTTTTCTGTACTCAAGCTTCAACTCTGCTTTTAGAATTTAAGAGACCACCATGTTGGGGACCGAAGTGGCTCCATGAAAGCCCTCCTGTGGCGCCCACCAAGCTCCAGAGCAGAGATCCCACCAGGTATGTGTAAGTTAAACTGGCAAGTGAAGGACTGTGTGCAAGGGAAGAACTGGAATGACCACATCTTTGGGTTCTTGCAACTAGGAAGGATTGGTGTTAGCCGCTCGCTCGCTCTTGTTAGTTTAGTTTAGAACTTATTTGCAAGATTACCCAGAAACATGTTAAGCCTCGTAGCACCTGCTAAGTTGCAGGAGCCAGATATTGACGTGGCTGTTTCATAGAAGAACTAGGATCCCTGTCAATGCATCTTGCTACAGAAGCAGAAAAGGAAAAACACCCTCTCAATTCAGTCAAAGTACAGTGGTGCCTCGCATAACGGGCGCCCCGTTTAACGACGAATCCGCATAGCGATGAAGAATTTGTGATCGCTTTTGCGATCGCATAACGATGTTTCCTATGGGGGAAAATCGCTTTGCGATGATCGGTAAGCTGTTTTGCTTACCGATTTTCGCATAGCGATGATTTTTCCCCAGCTGATTGGCGGTTCCAAAATGGCCGCCGGGTAAAACAAGGACGGATTCCTCGCTCACCAGGCAGCTAAAATGGCCACCGTATGGAGGATTTTCGCTTAAAAGGTAAGTTTTAAGCCCATAGGAACACATTGAAGGGGTTTCAATGCATTCCTATGAGCTTTTTAATTTCGCATAGCGACAAATCCGTATAGCGACGATTTTTGCTGCACGGATTATCGTCGCTATGCGGGGCACCACTGTACATAGCACCCAAGTAGGAGCCAATTGTTTTGTCACCGGAGGCAGCAAATCCCACAAACACCTCCCATCTCAATCAGCAGAGGTAAAATAATAAATAAGCAGAAGTTTGCAGTATTATCATGACATTCAAGATCTGCTTGACCAAAGGCATTCTGTTATATTAGGCCAACACCCGTCCCTACCTAATGATCAAGCTGGCCGTGGTTTCCCATATTGTTCAAATCAATAACCTGGTAACTTGAACAGGTTCCTGCTGTTAGTGAGAGGTTTCTTCCTTCCTGGACAGATAATAACCAATCTAAATGGAAGCAGTTCCGGGAGAGGTGAGCCAAACGGCAGCCATCTCTTTTCTGAGCCTACACAGAAGGGATCCTTGTCCTGTTTATCTACACCTGCAGTCAGGTCAAGCGGAAACAAGAATGTTCAAAAAGTTACAGAAATGAGGGGATTTGTAGCCGTGGTGGTGGTGGTGGTGGTGTTTATTAGAGATGAGCACAAATCAGAAAAAGGGTGATTAGTTTTGATTTGTGATTCATCAAGGTTGACAAATCACGTTTTGTGAATGTATCTTTTTTTTTTCCTGATGAATCAATTCATCAATTCGTTTTTGACTTTAAAACCCTATAAACTGTCCCCCCCCCAGCACTTAGAGACACCTAAACCACAATTCATTTTTTACTTTAAAACCCTATAAACTTCCCCCCACCAGCACTTAGAGACACCTAAACTATAGACAAGCTTCCCCGGCTCTCTTCTAAAATCCCTCCACGTTTGGTGAAGATTGGGTTTCAAGCATCCAAGTTATACACCCACAAAGTGGGTGCCCCCAGGAAAGTGTCCTTTAGGCGCTGGCTTGGGGAAATCCAGTCTTCACCAAACTGGGAGCTATTATAGAGGAGCGTCATTGGAAGCTTCTCTGTGATTTTGCTATCTCTAGGTGCCTGGAGGGAGCTTTCCTGGGGAGGGCCTGAATAACCTGAAATCCAGTCTTCACCAATCTCTCTTCACTTGGAGAGATTGTAGAGGGGCGTCAGAGGAAGCTTCCCTACAATTTTGGTATCTCTGGGTACCGGGGAAGGGACATTTTATAGCCCAACGAACTGACAAATCAAAAATTGCTAAAAATCCATTGATTTGTATTCATTGGGGGAACATTGATTTGTACAAATACAAATAGATGAAAAAGTGATTTTCAAATGACTTTGTTGATTCATTTTTTAAATTCGTGCCCGTCTCTAGTGTTTATACAATATGACGATTCACAAAGCTAAGTTTGACAACCCTGGAGGAATTCAGGAGGGCATATAAGGCAGAATTGTTTTGCTGACTTTTAGATGTTCTTAAATTGCTGTACCGCTGCTGATGTGATAAAATATTATATGGTAATATACATAAGATGAAATTATTTGGTGGCGGTTTGATTTTGCTAAAGTTCTGTTAGCTGGCTGGATAACTCAGGGTTTTAGGTACTATATTTTTCGCACCATAAGACGCACTTTTTCCCCATAAAACAGGGGGGTGGAAAGTCTGTGCGTCTTATGGAGCGAAGAAAACAGATTATATTTTCCTATTTTCTTCTCCTAAAAAATTGGTGCGTCTTATGGAAAGGTGTGTCTTATGGAGCGAAAAATACGGTATCTGGCTGCAGATCCAGAGGTGAGGAGCTGGCTGGATAACTCAGGGTTTTAGGTATCTGGCTGCAGTTAAATTCCCCGCTGAGCCTCCCAGTAAAAGAGGCAGCCTGGGTGGCCCTGGGCAAACTGCACAGTCCCAGGGCTCCCCCTAGAGGAAGGGAAAGGTAAAACACTTTTGAATATTATCTCATTGGAAAACCATGAAACCAGATGTCAGAATTGACTTGATAGTGCATGATTATTATTATTTTAAAGTTCTATTTACATTTTAAACACTTATGTGAACTATTTCATTATCCAATCGTTATGTCTGCTATATGCGTAATATTGTTTGACTTGTAATGTATACCATTCTGGATGTCTTCAGGCAGAAGAATGACACTGAAGTGAAAATCAGTTAATTCATTATTTTTTAAAAATTGCTACCATGTTGCAGTACAGTCCATGACAGACATTTTCGTTGCAACAAAGAAACACAAAATGAAGCCGAAGAGAGATCCAGAGACTTCACTGTCATTGTTTTATACAGACAGAGGAAAGAATGTAGGTGGGTGTGCCACAATAATACATTTTACTTCTGAACCAGTATGGTTTTAAATCTTAATAATATGGTGCTCTGAATCTCCAACTTTTTCTCTGTCAGTTTATTATAGTATCATACCCAGATAACTCAAGTTGAGAGTTGGGTGGTGATTAAGACAATGATGGTCGTTAGGAAAAGTGTGTCTTGCCATATCTGCCATCAATAACGCCTCTTTTCTGCTCCTCCCACATCACTTTCACTATCTAAAAATCTCAAAGATAATTCCCAAGAATCTTCCAGAACATTGTGACAGTTGAAGTGTCATAAAGGTAACATGTTTGAAGTGTTTAAAGATGTTTATTTAAAACAACCAACAGATCCTTCTGTAAGGGTGTACAATCTCCCTTTTTTTCTATTAATTCTTGAATATATCCCAAGAGTTTATTTTTTAATCTTGCCTCACACTGCCAAATTCTTCCACTGTTCCACTTACTCCTGAAAAGTACAAAATGGCGTCCATTCTACTACATGCAAAAAAGCCAGCTAGACCGGCAACTGAAACTTACTTTGACCGCACAACTTGTAAAGAGTTAATGGCGGTGACAATGTTACCTATGACACGTTACTTTTTTCATAAAGATTTTATCAGTGTGGTCATGTTTTTAAACGTAATGTAACAACTGGTGGCGCTGAGGGTTAAACCGCAGAAGCCTCTGTGCTGCAAGGTCAGAAGACCAGCAGTCGTAAGATCGAATCCACGTGACAGAGTGAGCTCCCGTCGCTTGTCCCAGCTCCTACCAACCTAGCAGTTCGAAAGCATGGAAAAATGCAAGTAGATAAATAGGCATTACCATGGTGGGAAGGTAATGGCGTTCAGTGTCTAGTCGCGCTGGCCACATGACCACGGAAACTGTCTACGGACAAACGCTGGCTCTATGGCTTGGACACGGGGATGAGCACCGCCCCCTAGAGTCGGACACGACTGGACTCAATGTCAAGGGGAACCTGTTCCTTAACAACTGATAGCAACTCTATTATTTGGGTGCAATGAGTAATGTTTAACTTTTTAATTTCTTAAACCTTGCATTCTGAGTGATTTCTTCCCCCATTGCTGTACTTATAAAGTGTGTCTTTAAAAGAATTAAGAAGGAATTTGAAAAGTAACGCAGCAATAATGCCTAGTAGGCCAAATTCCAATAATGAGGGGCTAGTGGAGTTAACAAGTTAACACTCCAAAAGAATGAATAGTTTTTTCACATATATTCTAGACTTTAACTTTTATGCTGACAAAAGGGGCCTGTATGTTCTGTGTCACGTGAATACGACAGACTAGTGTAAGGGATGCAAGATAATCTACACAGCATTTCCCTTCAAGAATCCTTTGCTGTTCCTTGACCCCCAGTATTTTCTGCCCTATGGACCCCCAAGATCTAAAATGGCAAGATCCTTATGTTCTTATGAAGAAAATAGACAGGGAAAGCCGTATATGCCTATAGCAACCCATGATGGAACTTTTTAAAAAAGTGAAACAACACATTATTGCTCCAGATAGTCCCCTGATGGTGCTTTTTCTAGGTGCTGTTTATAAGAAATATTCAAACCCCAAGTGTCCACGGAAGCTGGTCCCTAAGGTTCTTTTACCCCATGAAGAGGAACTATGCTCCAGCAAAGAGGTAGAGCGATTTTCATTATTGTGGTGCCTTTATGGCCATTGCTATGTCTTCCTGTCATTGGCTGCTATGCACCATGGCCATATTATCAATTCAACAACCCATCATCCTTTTTCTCTGAAAGTGGCTGAGTAAATTCAGCATAAAGAAACTGAAGTTAGAGTTGCCCAGTCTGATTTTTGGACCAGAGAGCAAACATCAGAAGCAGAAAGTGGAATGTTTGGGCAAGAAAGTGTCGGCCAAGTACTGTGACATCTTTCCTCGCGTGGAAATGCACGTAAGTCCTATATTTTTGTCTTTTATTTGAAGCACGCAAACTCTTTTTGTTCCTCTCTGCCAGTGGCCCAGTCCTCTATGGGTGGGGCTACCACTTCTCAGAAGGCATTTCTTCATGTGGGTAATCAAACGATGGGGGTCTTTAGCAAAACTCTTCCAACTGTGTTCCAGGGTATCGTGAAACACTTGCAGGTTTCGTCCAAGGATTTAGAGGATTACATTGAGCAGATGGAGAAAGTGTTGCGATGCTATGTCCGAAGATTACAGTGGCTTCTTTCAGGTGTGCGTTGCTTCTAGAATCCAAAGTCATTGTGACGTTCATAGTTTCCTTCGAGTGCTCCACTGATCTGTAAAGTTAGGGATTTTGTATTGGGAAATAATTTATATTGCTGAGATTAGAGGGTGAGAAGGAGAATCAGGTCAAGCAAAATCCAAGTTTCCTGCTCTTGCAGTGTTGTCCCTCTAGGCATGCAACTTTTTCAGTGCTACATGGCTGACTAGTTGTAAAGCAAAAGCAAGCTGACTTGCCAAATAAGAATAGAGGCGATCTTGTGTTAGACTAAAGATATAGTCTTTTTCTCTTCTGGAGAGTGTATTACTTCTAGATATGGAATGAACGAGGTGCTGTGGCCGAGAGATAATGAATCGCCCAAGATAATTCTGGGTACTTGCCAGATGCAGGCGATGTTGCCCTGTGCTTCCTTCCCAGGCAGCCAATGGCACACCACCACTATGCAACAATTACTTTCTTGCAGAGAGTTATAAGCAGGCAGGAAGTTATAAGTGAAACCAGAATTATAGACCATATAGAAAATTATAAACGGGTGAAAGGCCATGGTTTGGATTGGTTACAGCAGAACAGCTTTGGTATAGCACAAGGCGTGATTCCCCAGCAGGCTGAAAGGAAAATCTCCTCTCTCCCCTCTGCTCATGAAGACCCTCTCCCCTCCCACGCCAACCAAACCAATCCCCTTTGGCTGGCTCCCCCTTCTCCATACATAGCCCACACCCAGGCATGAGGCAACCAGGTACGGAGCAGGCACAGGTGGCTGGAGAAAATCCTGGCAGCTGGCTCCCACCGTCCAGGCATCGCCCTGACACAAACGGCCCCCACGTAAGTGTGCTGGGGTGACCCATGCTTGGTGCGAAGTACCGCCTGGAGCTCTTGGGCAAAGCCATGCTGGATCAGACCAAAACGCTGTCCAATTTCACAGTCAGAGCAGCAGACCACATATGGGTCTCAGCCAGAAATTGTCCATTTTTCAAAGACCGAACCGTCACGAACCACCCAATGGGTGGTTTGTGCTCATCTCTAGTTGGTTAGACGTCTTAGGGTTTATCGGTCAGCTGCATCTCTGCCTATGTGACTTGTCGCCCGTAGGTGAAGTGGGTCATATATACAGACTTACCTCTCCCCCTACAGTTTTCCATGCAGAAAAAAACTATTTTGCTGCTCCTCTCCTCCTTGTAATCATTTGAATAATTGATACTTGACAAAGTGGATAGACAGAGTCTCCCCTTCCCTGACTGATTGTACTTTCAGCCCCAGAGGAAGAAGGAAAGGAGTTCTTATCTTACCCAAGTCTAGAGCAAAGGGGCTTTTTGGGTTGCTGCTCTGGAAGCCCCAGGAGGACCAGGGGCTGACGATCCTCCCTGGGGGGGCATTCTGTGAGCCTCAGGTATCCCTTTCCCAAGCTCTGAGCCTTTGTAACGAGGCAAAATGCTACACCAGGCCACGTATTTGGGCCAAGTGATGATGTAATAAAAATATAGCTGGACTTAAGAGATCCGTATGGCATGAAGGGGCCTACAGGATACCCTGTTCATGCAGGGCTGGCCTGGGATCACTGGACGTCCATCTGCTCTGAGCCAAATATAGGCCAAGAGATGAGGCTTCTGGTTTCAGGTGGTGACGACCACTCTAGCAAAGGTACCCAAAGCATCGTGTAGGAGGCCATAGTTCAAAGCTCCTCCCATTGGTACTTTCTGGGCTGGTTCCTTGATTTCAAGGAGATGCTTCTGGAGGTAAAAAGTAATAAATATTTTTACTTGTAACCCGCTCTGACATAATATTTCTAAAGAGAATGAGCTCTAATGCTGGCTAGGGAGTAGTTTGTTGCAAGATGTTAAATGCTCACAATTTGTTTTCCATTATTTTAAATAGGAAGCCGGGGATTGTTTGGTCTCATCTTGGAAGCCAACGTTTGCCTCCTGATCGATACGTCTGGGTCCATGGACCGTTCTTTGGAAGAGGTCAGGAAAGAACTTGCCTCCCTGATCTGGGAGCAGCTGAGGAAGAATAATACCAGGTAAGGAAGGTTCCAGAGTATCCGTAGGCCTTTGGGCTGATGAGAAGCTGCCATGGCATTCAACGCCCCTTTTGTGGTTTTCAAGTGTATCTTCTGTTATTTTTTCCAGTGGTGTTTAGTCAGTTAAGATATTACGTGTGAGTTAATTAGACACCGTGGCTAGGATCATAGAATGAAGGAGTTGGAAGGGGCCTATAGGGCCTCTGAGTTGAACCCCCTGCTCAAGGCAAGAATCTCCAGTGGTGTTTAGTCAGTTAAGATATTATGTGATGAGATAATTAGACACCGTGACTAGGATCATAGAATAAAGGAGTTGGAAGGGGCCTTTAGGGTCTCTGGGTTGAACCCCCTGCTCAAGGCAAGAATTCATGTTAGAGGACCATTGACACGTTTGAATACACCTGACATAAGACTGTTCAGCCATTCTCTTGGTTCTTCCAGATTGTTTCCCCCCACAATGGCTAAAACATGTCCCCAAAGTTTTGTTATTCTTGTTTCGGGAATATGAATCTTGGACCTTTCCTAAGAGTCATCCCAACTCCTGAGAATTCACCACCTCTGAAAAGCCTGCCCGGGCCACTTCTTCCTGAAGTCCAGGAGGCAAATCACATCGCAAAGAGCTGCAAGACCTATTTCCTTTGACCAAATGTATTTACAGTAATACCCCACGTCTCTGCTAAAAATTCCCTCTCGTCATCAGCTGCCTAACCAGATTCGACTTACTGACTTGAAGGCTGTGTCTTGATTTGATTTGGAAGACCAGACAAAGGTTGCCAAATAGATCTTGACGTGGCATGACGTAATTTGTGACTCCTTTGATTTAATTTCGGTCTCAGACCCAAACTGATTTATAAAGCCTTCCATTGATTTGCACTGGGGCACAAAATAGCTGTAACTTTGTTTTTGCATTGCCCTACATGATGCTTGGAGACATGGTAGACCCTAAACAGAGGAGGTAACCTGCCAAATTTCAGACAGCTAGCCTCAGGTGTTTGTATATAGACACCTTTAAAGTTGTTTTTTTTAATCAAAAGAAAATAAGAAAAGAAAAAAGGATGGGAGTGACTTGTGCCCCATCAGATTTGATTTACATTTTAGACACAAATGAGTTTGTAAATGCACTCCCGTTCACTCCAGTGCTAAATATAGCCGTTCCCTTCAATCTGATCCTTACACAAATAGATCTGAATTGGGTGGGATCTCTGTTAGTAGTTCAGGATTTTTTGGGGGGTGCAAAGTCCTAATTGATAGAGAAGACTCTTCCTTTCCAGGTTCAACCTGATCAGCTTTGCAGAAGATGTTGATGTTTGGCAAGAGAGCCTTGTGGAGGCCACCAATGAAGCCTGCCACGATGCTGTCCAGTGGCTGTCCACGTTTCGAGCTCATGGGAATACTTCCATCCTCAAGGCTTTGCAGGTTTGTGAAGCAGGAAAGAAGATTTTGTGTGAACACCGTGCATTTCAGACTGTGTTCAGGAGCCACGGTTGCTGAGCAAGGCCAGCCCTGCTATTAAGCAGAGTGAAGGAACTGCCTCCAGCAGCGTATTTTTCTTGTCATAAAATTGTTGAGGGGAGAGGTGCTCATAGGATTTTCTGCCACCTTAGCTCTGCTATATATTTGTTACCAGCCCTAGTCTAGTGAAACATTCTACCGCAATGGTTGTTGTGGGTTTTTCGGGCTCTTTGGCCGTGTTCTGAAGGTTGTTCTTCCTAACGTTTCGCCAGCCTCTGTGGCCGGCATCTTCAGAGGACTGGAGTAGTAGAGTCCAGCTGTGAAAGCCTTCGCAAATACATTCTACCACAATCTTTCCCTAGAACAAGGTATGGGGAACCGTTAGTCCCTCAGATGGTGTTCGTGAACACTTCTCCTATCGTATCTCACAGTTGACCACAGCTGACTAAGGCTAACAGCGACTGGAATTCCAGAGAAAGAGTGGGAGATTCCCTAAGTCTGGTTGAGAACATTCTCAAGGTGGATGTTTATCATTCTGGAGATACATTCTTGCACAGACACACTTTGGTTTACAAATGGCTGAGGCATCTGTATAACAAAAGCAAATGTGATTGTCGTGTAAACCAACATGTGGTCCTCAATGGAACCACATCTACGTGGAAGGAAGTGTGCAGTAGGGTCCCTCAAGGTTCTGTCTTGGGCCCAGTGCTCTTCAATGTCTTCATAAATGACCTGGATGAGGGGACTGAAGGAGTACTCATCAAATTTGCCGATGACACAAAGCTGGGGAGAACTGCTAATACTTTGGAAGATAGACTCAACATTCAGGAGGATCTAGATAGACTTGAACATTGGGCCCTATCCAATAAGATGCAGTTCAGTGGTGGGAAAAGTAAGGTCCTGCACTTAGGCAGGAGAAACCAGATGCACAGGTACAGGATAGGTGGCACCTGACTTGACAGGAGTACCTGTGAGAGGGATTTAGATGTCTTGGTGGACCACCGCCTAAGGATGAGTCAGCAGTGTGCTGCAGCTGCCAAGAAAGCCCACACAGTCCTCGGCTGCATCAACAAGGGGATAGCATCAAGATCACGGAAAGTGATCATACCACTCTATACCACACTGGTGAGGCCGAACTTGGAATGCTGTGTCCAGTTCTGGTCACCACAATACAAAAAAGACGCTGAGGTCCTCAAAGGGGTGCAGAGAAGAGCAACAAACATGATGACTAAACCCTATAAAGAATGACTAAAAGAATGTTTAACTTACCGAAGAGAAGACTGAGGGGAGACATGATAGCAATCTTCCAATATCTGAACGGTTGCCACAGGGAAGAGGACATTAATTTATTCTCCACTGCGCCTGAGGGTAGGACAAAAACCAGCGTGTGGAAACCCATCAGAGGGAGATCCGACCTGGAAATAAGGAGGAATTTCCTGACGGTGAGAACCATTAAGCAGTGGAACAGACTTCCGATGTTGTGGGTGCCCCATTGCTGGAGTTTTTCAAGAAAAGACTGGACAGCCAATGGTATGGTATGAGGTCCAGGATGGTAGGAGGTCTCCTGCCTTGGGCAGGGGGTTGTACTAGAAGACCTCCAAGGTCCCTTCCACCCCTACAACAATTCTATCATTCTATGATTCTATGATAAAATGAATGTCAAAACATGAAGAGTAACAAGACTACTGTACGTATTTCTTCCTGTATACTTGTGATGAGCTAAATTTTATCCCAGCATCCTAGTTGCATAGGCTCATGGCTGTGTAACTGTGACACGTTGTTTTTTCCAGAGAGCGTTTGCTCTTCAAGATGTAGAGGCTTTGTATGTTCTGACAGACGGAAAACCGGACACGAGCTGCACTTTGGTACTCAAGGAAATTGGAACGCTTATGAAGAAGCGGGCAGTTAAAATCCACACCATTTCATTTAACTGCTCAGACCGGTATGTGTGGCTTTGCTGGAAAGGTTGGAAGTATTATTTTTGGCTTTCGTGGGGTGATGTTTGTAGGAAATTGCCAAAATCGTAAGACATTCTCAGATGTCTTTTCCTATTACCAGGGTTCTTTTTAAATAGCCCTTTACGCTTGCGTAAGCACCATAATATATATATATATTTTGGCAAGTTCCAGAGGTGTTCATTCATTTTAAAAATCATTTAGTTTTCTTTATAATCGAGACATGTCTATTACTATGACGGGGGACAAGGACTTCTTAACTATGGTCCCCCAGGTACTTAGGCCTACAACTGGATTGACAGTTGTACATGAAGCTGGATTATTATTTCCTAACGGTGGTGCATCCTTTCAGACATTTTGAAACAGCTTGTCCGTTGTCTGTAAGTCAAGGGTCCACTGTACGCTTGCGTAAGCACCATAATATTTTTTTTTGCCAAGTTCCAGAGGTGTTCATTCATTTTAAAAATGAATGAAGATCTACCCATGTCGAGACATGTCTATTACTATGACGGGGGACAAGGACTTCTTAACTATGGTCCCCCAGCTACTTAGGCTTACAACTGGATTGACAGTTGTACATGAAGCTGGATTATTATTTCCTAACGGTGGTGCATCCTTTCAGACATTTTGAAACAGCTTGTCCGTTCAATATACTGGCTTTCTTATAGATGTGATGATGACACACATCATCTGTCTTTTAAAAAAAAAACCCTCTCAGAGCACTCCTGTTCCCTTTGTCTTCCCCCTTTTGTCTCTCACAGAAGAGCCAACGATTTTCTTAAGAAATTGGCATTCCAGACGGGTGGGCGGTATCATCGGTGCCAGGGGTGTGTGGATGGTCAGTTGGCAGCGCACCGCCTGCTCTCGGAAGGCTTTAGAGATGAAGACGTAAGTTCAACGGGCACCCTCTTGTGCGTTATTGACTTGCATTTATCAATGAGCAGCCCTGGCACTCCTTCTTTCCTCCCCTGGGTGTAGTTCTTTTCCCCCAACTTTATTCCCAAAGGGTCCTGTGAAGCAGATCATGTTGAGAAGGTGTGACTGGCTCACAGTCACCACATGAGCTTCATCATAATCTCATCATCATCATCATTTTAGAACTGCACAGCTGGAAGGAATGCTATGGATCATTGAGTCTCGCCCCTGTCAGGGAGGCTAAGTGGGGGATCTTCAACCCCATGCTTGATGCGGGAATACAAAACACATAAAAGGATACCTGCCAGGTGGTCCTCTATGTTTCTCTTGAATCGTTCACCTAGGCAATGGTTCTCCCAGGTGAAGTCACGGTCCACAGTATGCTTCCATTACATTGTATGTATACCACAAATGAGGGATGTGTGGCCTTCGAGATGCTGCTGAACTGCAGTTCCAATCCTCCTTCACCATTCCTCACCTATCCCTGGTGGCCCCGCCTGCCCCTCCCCGTTTTGCAGAATAGGTTGAGGACATCCACACAGGAAGGGAGGCTGATTCCCCAGACTGGAAACTATGCCTGCCCATCTTCCAAACGCCATCCTCCACATGAAAGAATCTTGTGAGCCCTGGGGGTTTTTTTACCCCAGGGCCATCCGCAGCACCCTAAAACCCTAGGTAGTTGCTTTGTCTCCAGCAGGATCCACCAGCCCTGATGCCCACCCGGATGTCCAAGGCATTTGGTGGGCATCAGAGGATGGACCACCCTGGGCTAGGCTATCCCTGAACACAACTGTTTGCTTGCCCCATCACGCTCTGAGAGAAACCCTACAAGGGTTAGGGCAGGCAGTCTGCAAGCATCGTGCAGAGGGTACCAGTGATGATGATGCTGTTGGTTGCCACCATTCCGGATAAGTCTGCCAGGTGATGGTACCTGCCAAAGTCAAGATGGGGCCCATGGGAAGAAACCTTGTTTCTTGCTTACTTATTTCATTTTATAGAAATAAGTGTTAGGGGGACTCGGCCAACAAGGCGGGCTACGATTGTCTGGTTGGGTGCAAACCCAAGCTTGCCTCCCTTCTTGCCAGTTGGCCGTTGCCCCTCCATCTCCCACCCTCTTTTCTTGAGGGCCTGGGCCTTTGTGTTCCTCCCTCCCTCCCTCCCTGTCTCCTCCTCTTCCTCCAGCTCTCCTCTCCTCCCCTTGAATGAAACTCTGGTTTTCCTCCACATCAGCCATGAGCAGACAGCAGACCAAGTGGTAAGAGCCAAAAAAAAAAGCACTGGGCAAGGAAAGCATCCTGCATCCAGGTTCCTAGGCTGTTGTAAATGTGGCAATAACATAGATGATTTAGGTTTATTTTCTTTAGGGGCATTTAGAGAAAAATCACTGTGAATCTAACTGTGTAACTTCTTCTTTTGTTCCCCAGGATCCCGTTTTTCCTTTATTTGAAGGAGATGATCTAAGGAAACTTGCAGAAGAAATCACAAAAGGCAGAAGCTATTTGGTGCAGGCCAGGTCCTTCAAGTGAGTGTGTTCCCTATTGGTAGGAATGTTCTGTTTAGGTATGCCATGGACATTCTGAAATGTATGCCATTTAGATATCTCATTGGCCCGAATCACTGCCTTAGGGGGAAGTCAACTGGCCATCTCATGGGCTAACATTTTGTAAACAAACCAACTGCTATTCTACTTCTTTTTTCTTCAAAAAGTCCCCGCCTATGTCATAGAAAGCAACAGACACGAAGGGATGTTTAGTGTCTATAAAGCATGTTTTTTTTTTCACCTTCAGATTTATATACTACTATTTCCACTCAGCTTTACTACCCATTAGTTTTAATCTTTTTTTTTTAAACGATCAAATGATTGATTTGGGTCAGCCATCCTCACTGGGGGCCAGATGGCCCCATGGGGTCCCCCTGACACATTTCAAGGGGGCCAGAGACTTGAAACAATTCTTCACACACCACCTTATAAAGTTGGTTGTTTGACTTTTATAATCCTGATTAAGCCTATATTTCTTTCATATTTATGGTCGTAGTCGGCAAAAGATTGAAAGTGTCTGGTTTATCCCACCGTTCCTCCAAAGAGCTCAAAATGGCATAATGGGTCTTCTCTCTGTAGCTGACAAAGACTTTTCTCTTCAGGCAGGCTTTCCTTTAAATGACTGGTTGACCAAGGGAATTTTTTAAAGGGAGCATTTCATTCTGTTGTTTTACCTGTGTTTTTAATAGTGTTCTTATTTGTGTGTTTTTAACGTGATATCTCTTTAATGCTTTTTAAATATTGTAATGATTTATTGCTTCAATTTTAACTTTGGTTTTTTTTAATACTGTAAGCTGCCTTGGATCTGTTAGGAGAAAGATGGCATCTAAATATTTTAAATAAATACTTTAAATACATAAATAAATACATTATTTCCTCCTGACAAATCCTAAACAATAATGACTGGCCCAAGGTTACTTCATTACCTTTATGGCTGAGTAGGCAGGTACCTGAACACAGGCCACTTCCTGGCACAAAAGGGATCTAAACTAAAGCAAAGCAAAGTATGCTGCTTATATACTGCCCTGTAGCACTTAAAGCATTTTCTGTGTGGTTTGCGATTTCATTATGCAGGCTACACTCCCCCACCCCACCCCGAACTGGGTATTCAAGTTACCAACCTTGGAAAGATGGAAGGCTGAGTCAAATTTGAAGCAGCTACCTTAGCCCAATCAGGATTTAACGCAGGTCATGAGTAGAGTCTTCACTGCAATACTGCAGTTTAACCTCTGCACCACAAGGCCACATGCAATAGTCAGTCCTTCTGTCATACACACACACACACACTGAGAGAGAGAGAGAGAGAGAGAGGGAGAGAGAGAGAGAGAGAATGTAAACAGGGGGCCACAAGGCTGGTTCTAACCTCCCTTTGGCAGACATACCCACAGAACTGTTGTGTGAAGGTGCTCATGTTTGTGCATGCCCCATGAAGGTGGGTTGATTGGTCCAGCCACTCCCTCACTTGAAAAGCCCCCTCACATACCAGCCAAACCAGTGACGGGTCATAGTTATTGGTTACATCAGCAGGAAGAACTGAAGTCAGTCCCACAACCTCTCATATTAGTCTGTGCAAGCATTATAGGTAAAAACTAAATAATACAAATAAAAGAACAAATTAAAAAGACAAAAACATGGTGGCACGTTAAAAGACTGTTACATTTTTTAATGTGAGATTTCATGGAGAAGTCCACTCTCTCAGACATAAGTGAAAGAGATATAAGGCGGCAAATATTGATACAGGGCATCAAAATACAGAGATCAAAATACAGAGTTCATGGTGGGTTGATTAAAAAAAAGTCAATTGATGTTGTACCCTGTGGCAATAGCTTGTTGCGGTGTTCTTTTATTTGTATTAATTTTTATTTCCATTTTGTTTCTAACCTATAAACCTCTCTTGTGTCCTCCTTCAACACGAGGAAAGGAGGTCCTCTGAAGCAAATCTCTTTTTTTTTTACCAATAAACTATAGTGGCTGACAAGAAAACCACAACCCTCTCCCAAACAGAACTAAAAATAAATAAATGTACTGTAGCATGAACAAAGCAGTTTATGTCAATCTGAAAAGAGAGAGAGAGAAAAAAAACAGAGGGCTGAGAAATAAGTCTCTTCTATTAATGATGTCAAAAACAAACCAACAGAATCATTGTTTATTATGCTTCTAAATGCAAATAGAGAAACAACGAAAATGGGTCTACCCAGTGAACTTCGGACGGACGTGGCAGGATTGGAAAACAGTCCCTAGCAAGATTCTTTGCACCATGTTTTTCTTTCTTTTTCTAGATCGTTATTGGAAAACTGGACTTCAGATAAAAAGGACAATTCATCCCAAAACAGCTGCCTCCTCGGAAGATGTATGTATGTTTGGTTTTAGTTGTGAAACTAAATGCTGATATAGAAAAGAGTAACTTTTCAAAGCTCTCTTGCAAGGGGCCAGTTTCTCTTTCATCAAAATATTGACCTGATCCTGCACTGATCTTTGTGTTTGGTTTCAGATTTTTAACCCATCTCGGACTCCGCCTTTGGAAAGACTAGATAAAGCAAAGTGTGCTGCTTATATACCGCCCCATAGCACTTAAAGCTCTCTATGGGGAGTTTACAGTTTCATTATGCAGGCTTCACATGGCCACCCGGCAAGCTGGGTGCTCAGTTTTTACTGCCCTCGGAAGAAGGAAGGCTGAGTGAACCTTGAGCTGGCTATCTGAGCCCAGGATCAACCTTAGGTCATGAGCAGCGTCTTCACTGCAGTGCTGCAGTTTAACCATTGCACCACATGTCTCCTGAAATAGATAGATATATACTTTGAAAAGAAAAATAGTATTTTCTAATAAGTGGTCTTCTCTTATTTATTTTTTTTACAGAACAATGGGATGGCAAAAGAGATTTGCGTGGAATGTTAGACGAATAGCCAGTATTTCTTGGCAAGCACATGAATGGAAGATGTGACTGTTGCCAAGAGAAGAGAACCGCTCAGGCTGATGAAACTTTCAATATCTGGCCTATACATACACATGGGGAAGTAACTGCTTTGGGATTATTCAGTCCTCCAAATCAGAGATGATGCAGTCATCTGGAAAACCCAAGATTCTATCGGTTACTTTACAGTGACTAGCAGAAATGGGTAGTCATACATACAGCCATGTTCTATGTCGGGACTATACCATTATTAGACAGATCGTTTACCAAAAAGGATGTTTGAGTTGACTTAATAAAGGTACTGCCCTTAATATGGATTTCAGATTTTTTTTGAGTCGTCAGTAATAATTCCTTCTTTCTTCCATTTCCTAGAATGAAAAGAAATTCACTTTTAAAACTCTTGGGACTACTGAGTTTTGATATTTTGCTGAAATCAGTGCCTCCCCCACAAGTGCTGGGTGACACGAGAGGCTAGCGGAGGTCCTTGGCGGAGGGAGTTCTACCAAGATCTGACGTCATCTGCCCGTAGTGTGGACCCAAACCAGAACACATTCTGTTTCAAGGGACAGTTTCAAAATTGAAAGTGATCAGGGCTAAATAGGACAAAGTCCGTTCCTCGTGCAGAAAAAGGCATCTTTAGAGGAGCCAGGCTGCTCCTGGGACCCTCCAAGAGCAGCAGCTTCTCCTAAGGAACCCCCCCCTTTTTTTTTTTGGAGAAGGGAGCTGGGGCAACCCAAAACGGGTGACGGGTTGCCCTCCGTGAATTTTTTTTTTTTTTTTTTTTTGAGAAGGGAGCTGGGGCAACCCAAAACAGGGGCGACGGGTTGCCCTCTGTGAGTTAGAGCAAGTGTGACTTTAGTTCGTCTTCTCTAGGGGCACATTCGACCTATATGGTGGGAACAGAAAGGCTTCTGGCAGAGGTTTGCAATCCGTAGTGTTGGTGACTGCCACTGTCTGTATAGGGACATGGTGGCGCTGCGGGTTAAACCGCAGAAGTCTCTGTGCTGCAAGGTCGGAAGACCAGCCGTCATAAGATCGAATCCATGTGACGGAGTGAGCTCCTGTTGCTTGTTCCAGCTCCTGCCAACCTAGCAGTTCAAAAGCATGTGAATGCGAGTAGATAAATAGGGACCACCTCAGTGGGAAGGTAATAGTCTAGTCGCTCTGGTTTGCGCCCTAGAGTCGAACATGACTGGACAAAAATTGTCAAGGGGAACCTTTACTTTTGCCTTTACCTTACTGTCTGTATTGCAAGGAGACCCCTTCTGGCTAGCCGTGAATGCTGCCCGTTTCTCTGTAGCTGACGAATTAAGGCAAAAAGGCACTGGCGTGGGTCCCACAGACAAATTGAACCGCTTGCTTTGGGACCTCAAGCGACCTCATGCACTGTCACATCTTTTGCCCCTTGAGTTTAACACTGAACTGGGCTTGCTGACATTTTGCTCGTGTACCAGGGTAGAGATTGGCCTTGGAACCACTACCTCTGGTTCTATGTGTACCAGGGTAGAGATTGGCCTTGGAACTGCTTCAGCCTTGAAGCCCCAGTGTGTCGGTACCCCCTCATCGGCTCTGCAAAACCATTGACTAATCTCACCTCTGGTTCTAAGCTGAGTTTTCCCATCCTCTTTTCTCCTGTCTTTCTTTTCTTGTCAAAGAAACAAAGCGCACGTCCAGACACTTGGCTATTAAAAAGCATATTCGATCTGTGCTCTTTGGAATGATGCAAAGTGCTTGTTTCAATAGGTCTCCTAAGCATTAGGCAACATCAATAGATCATACAGTTCATTAGATGACTTATATAAAACACTGATCCTGTCATTTAGTATCTGGTATGTTAATACACGTGCAGCATAGATTAGTGCTTTGGAGAGAGTATTGGGTCTTCATAGTGACACTGGAGTGCGGTGGTCAAAGATCGAAGCTCTCAATAAAACACTTATTTCTCATTGCTGCTTCTTCCTGATTAGGCGTCTTCTAATTGGTCATTGAAAAGGTAGCAGGAGTGAACGCGACAGTGAGGGTAGGTTTGATTTAAATCAAATTCATATCAATCACAATTTAAATTTCAAAACCTGGATTTCTTGATGATTTGAAATTTAAAATCATTTTTTAATTTAAATCGTGATTTAAATCAATTTGAATTTAAAACAAAAATACATTCAATTTATCCACCCTGGCAGTGACCGTTGGGATGCATATGGAGGGTTTGTGTGTCTATGCATTCATCAGCACATGTTGTGTACAGACACACAAGGATCACGCTGCCGATTACATTCCAGTTTGGGCGGTCTGCTTTGGCAGATGTCCTGGTCTCTTCCTCTCATTGCCCATTATGTAGCTGGTGATAACCTCCATCACAATCAACACCACATCTATTTTAAGAAGAAAGAGTAGTTAATCTAGCTGTGTTAGATTAACAAGAACATGGGGCAAGACCGCTGGTTGGTAATGGAGGGTAGGTGCCACAAGAAGTCTCATTTATTTCAGGAAGACCTTCTCCAGTTAGCTGTTTAAATGTAGCTGGTGATAACCTCCATCACAATCGACACCACATCTATTTTAAGAAGAAAGAGTCGGACACATCCTTGTTCAGAAAACTGGCTGTGTTAGATTAACAAGAACGTGGGGCAAGACTGCTGGTTGGTAATGGAGGGTAGCTGCCACAAGGAGTCTCATTTATTTCAGGAAGACCTTCTTCAGTTAGCTGTTTAAGCACCATAAAGAAGGCCGACCACCGAAGAATTGATGCTTTTGAATTGTGGTGCTGGAGGAGGCTCTTGAGAGTCCCCTGGACTGCAAGGAGAACAAACCTATCCATTCTGAAGGAAATCAACCCTGAGTGCTCACTGGAAGGACAGATCCTGAAGCTGAGGCTCCAATACTTTGGCCATCTCATGAGAAGAGAAGACTCTCTGGAAAAGACCCTGATGTTGGAAAAATGTGAAGGCAAGAAGAGAAGGGGATGACAGAGGATGAGATGGTTGGACAGTGTCATCGAAGCGACCAACAGGAATTTAACACAGAGAAATTATAATACAGTAATATGTTTATCTCCATAAAAGAGAAATTAAAAATGGGCTAATTTAAATTTATCTTTATTAGGTAGACTTACAATAGTAAAAACTCATATATTACCAACCGTTAGAACCATATATGGGAAAAAAAATAGTTCTGGTGAAAAAAGAAAAAGAGAAGTCTATAGCAGGGAATGGTAAAACTTTAAGATTTATAAATAGTATAAAATATGAACCAGCCATGAAAGAGGGATTAGCTATACCACATTTAATAATATATTAGGAAGCCTTTCAAATAGCTCAGACTGTTAAACTTCTACAAATGAATAAGATCCCCAATTAGACTTAAATGGTGGGAGCTGGAGATATCTGTGCTGTTAACTCTGACTTATACATAGCTGAGAAATAGGGTTAAAATGCAAAACTCATTTACTAATGAATTAATTCATATATGGTGTAAATATAGGAATGTCTTGGCTTCCCCCATAGCTGCATTATGCCCTGTCCTGGCAAATCCTAATTTTGAATTTCAAAATAAGAATGCACAATGTAGATACTGGGAAGAGACTGGAATTTATAGGATTAGAGATTTATTTATAAGAGAAGAACCAATTTCATTTGGATAGTTAAACCAAAAAACCCCTACTCAAATAAAAGTCAACTGGCTCCAATTAATTTAAATAAAAACATTTGCAATGCAATTGTATAATACTTCAGCTTCTATTAGAGTGCTCACAATATTTGAAAGCTATTGTATAGCAGATGATTTTAGGTTAAAAGGAGGATTACTCTCAGTAAATGATAAGAACATTGCTCATGAGGAGTATGGTAATTATATGGGATTTAAAACAGTTTGGGAAATCAACCTAAATATTAATATATCAGAAGAATCTTGGACTAAAATATGGGCTGTGCAACTTTACAAATGGGTATTGGCGAAGTTTAGGGAAATGGTATTAAAATCAGTTCCTAGATGGCATTCGTGTCCTATAAAATTCATAAAATTAATAAGGAGATACCAGACATATGTTGGAGAAATTGTGGTTTCAAAGGATCACTGGAACATCTGTATATCTCCTGTCCAAAGATCAAAGAATTAGATGCATTAGACTAGTGAGGCAAATTAACGCAGCGAGAGATAGTTCTTAATGAAACTTTACTCTTGTTGTCCTTATTTATTGGAGAGAATGCTCTGTATTGGTTCCGGCGATCACCACGTGCTGGAACCGATTCAGACCAGAGCAATCCTACCCGCACCAAAAAAAGTCGAAACCCCTAACAGGGGCTTGGAAAGGTACATATAGGACCTCACTGGGTAGGCTGGCTCGCTCCAGCAAAGATGCCATCTGATTGCCATCTTTGAGAGGGAACCAACCCACTCCTAAAGCAGACCAAACAATGGGCAAAATGCCCATCTAGCCAGCCTCTTTGCTGTATTCTCATTATCATATTTCCCCTTCACCAATAATTTGTTTCAGGTGACTACATTGCCTCCAGCATGTTGCTTTGGAATAACCTCATGGGTCTAAAGAAGGAATAAAAACTTAAATATCAGCTCAACGGAAGATAACAGAGATAGCTACTAAAAGCCAATATCATCTTAGAACTGCAAAGCTGGAAAGGACCTTAAGGATTATCAAGTCCAGTCCCTGTTAATGAGGCACCGTGGGGGAATCGAACTCCTAAACTTTGGCTCCACAGACGGCCAGATGCCTAAACTACTGAG